GACGACTAAAATTAAAATATATAATCATCCTTTTTGTCTTTTTTTGGTGCGGTGGTATTAATCTTTTTTACATGCATCTTAGTTTGATCATGTTCGAAAATAATTACTCGTCTTTGAGAAAAATAATTTTATTTAGTGTGGCGTTATTTAAAACGAGTTTCTTGATCAACCTTTGATGGATAAGTTGTTGGTCCAATATTACAATGGGTCAATTATTAATAATCCAACCAAGTCAATGGATTAGACTATTAAATAAAATTACCAAGTTAGGTTCATTATAAATCCTATTTATCAGAATTTCCTTAGATTTCAGATTGCTCATTATTATTGGACCTTGCAATGATGTGGCTCTGTACGAAGACCAAGGTCTCTTGGGCCTTTTTTTTATTCGAGGAAAAATTGGAAGGAAGTACACCAAATTAGAATTAATTGTAAAAAAATAAATAAAAAAAATGTTGAGTAATTAAGTCCTTAATTTTGATATTTATTTGTATCTAAGTACATTATTTGAATTTTACTGATTTTTTTGTGATATTTTTGCCCTCCATTAATCCATGTGTATTTAATGCACCACTTTTCTTTGGAAAGTAGTACATTAAACATCTCCTAATTTTATAAAAAAATTTTAATACACACACACACATATATATATATATATACACACACACGTATGTATGTATGTATGTATGTATGTATGTATATACTTGTTGTTAAATCTTTTATCTAAATTTAGAATTATCTTTTAATGCACCTTGATTCGTGTATTTTTTTTTTTGAAAAGTGGTTTTATTTTTAAATTAATTTAATATCCGAATAATGTAATTGTGTAATAATAACAGTGCAATAATAAAAGTGTAATAGTATAACACTAACAGTGTAACAATATAACAATAACAATATAACAAGTTATTTACACAAAATATTGTACTATTACATTTTGTCAAACATATAGTTTCATATAATTTCATTCAAAATAGTCTATCTCCATTTTGAATTTGTTACCACATACACAAAACTACTGAACACTGTTTTTGTTACACTGTCTTTATTACAGTGTATTTGTTACACTGTTATTGTTACACTATTTCATTATTCGAATATTAAATTAATTTGAAAATAAAATCATTTTCAAAAAAAAAAAAACACTTGAATCAAGGTACATTAAATATAATTTGAAAACAAAATCACTTTCTAAAAAAAAATACGCATAAATCAAGGTGCATTAAAGATAATTCAAAATTTAGATAAAAGATTTAACAACAAGTGTATATATATATTAACAAATACGCATGAATCAAGGTGCATTAAATACGTATTAACAAACACACATGAATTAAGATGCATTAAAGATATGAGATTTTGAATTAAATGACCCTAAAATGGGCATTTATGTCTTTGTAACTCAGTTGTGTACTTTTTTTCAAAATATTTTATTTTATATATTTTTTGACAAATAAATCTAATCAGTGTACCGACTTTCAAAGAACCTTTTATTCAAGCCTCCAAACAACTGGGCTTTCTCATTAAATTTGGGCTCTTAAACCGCTTTGTGTTATCTAAAGGCAAGCCACTTACCTGGATCCAGAAAGTTGATTAAAAACGGAGGAAGTAGAATAATTTGTCCCTTATATCTTACCTCAATTATAGACCTACTAAGGGTAACTCGTGCCGAAAATAATAGTACAATATGCATAATTTTGAGAAGAATGTTGTTAATCGTTGAATAAGTCTATTTGAAACCGTCGAATAATTTATCAAAATTTACTCTATTTTATATTATAAATGATTACTTTGTTATGCAAAATAATGATCGTTTCAGCATGAAACCAATTGAAAAATTATAGACCCCCAAGCTTTGTGGTCTATGGTGCTTAACGCCCCGTTAAGAGTCTTGCTTGAAGTTTGTGGGGATATGTTCTAGGTTTGATTAATGGAGAATAGATTGATGAGTTACTTTTACCAATTTGGTGGAGTCGAAGTCCGGCTATGACTCAAGTTGTCCTTAGAGAGTGCTTACATGTTTTCTGTCTAGGCCCCTTTGGAGGGCTTCTCCAGTTAGTAAGAGATACTATGGTCATACCCTGGTAAGGATTCCACATCTGATCATCCCCTATACCCTTTTTCATCAAAAAAAATTGAAATATTATCGGGACCAAGTTAGAGGAAATCAATGTTGTGTTGATGCCCAATGTGACTAATTCCAATAAAATCTGTAGTGGTATTTTGAGAAAAAATTCAAAATAAGAGGTGTATGTGTTTGATGAGTATGAGTATATTTAGAAATTGGTACAATCGTTAAATGGCAAAAATAGTATAAATAAAAAATATTAAGAAAGAACCAACTTAAATGGTTTGAATCGGTTCATAGAAAAGAGATCGTGATTTGATACAATGAGTATATTAATGCAAGTAATAGAGATTAATCGAAATTATATTTTAGTGTGATAGAAAACAATTTCATAGTTTATTGTTTAATTTATTGTACTATACTTTATAAAACACAATTACCGAGAAAGTTCATATATTGACGAACTGAGCTTCGCATGTTTGAGTCGAGTTTTTAGGCTCGTTTAAGTTCGACTTTTTGAAAAATGAATCGAGTCCGAACCGAGCTCGAGCTCGATTATCAGCTGTATTCATGGCTGCTTCAAACGTCGAAGCCTACCATTGACATAAAAAAATACTCCTTTTTCCAACCATCATGTCGCAAAAGTTATATTACCACTTGGTGAGTCCGTCACAAGACCTATCTGGAGGGAACATATACCATTGTTTTTATACCTAATGTTAATGGCGCAGTCCAAAAACCTTCAAAAAGGAGCTCAAACCGGACGAAGAATCCCAGGCAAAAGTTGAAAAACAACTGGAAAACGATGATCAGTTCTTTGGCGCATATTGTCAAACAGTAGATGTGCATCCACAAATATCCATCCCAGAAAACAAAACCCAGAGACATTGTTGGGTCTTCTTGTTTCAATAGTCGAATCCAGGTTTGTCCATTTCGAAATGTTTCGATGATTACAGCTTTCGAGTTGTTCTCCAATTTTGTCAGAATGGGATAAGACTGTTTCATGAACGATACAATTTGGGAATTGGAGATTTGTCTCGAATCTCGATGGCGGCCTTTCACTCCTGATTCATTCCAATTATTTTCAGGTTAGAAATGTGACATGATCAAAACTAGAGATCCATTGATTGCAACCTGTTTTGACTTACTACTGGACAAACTGCATTGAGATAAGCGAAAGATAGAATATTTTTTGCGGCTTCAAGAGTTGAGTAAATTTCTTTGGGAAAGACTATGGTACTCGTGGCAGTATGGTATCGAAATTTATAGTTTTTTAAAATTAAGTAATAATTTGTTTGAAGCGTAACTTATAAGTTGTAAAGGATTCGATCATAGAAGATTGGAATTGACACCGAAGGTATAATTTTCAAAAGTTAAGTTATAATTTTTGAAGACCAAGTTACACCTCATAATAGAGAAGATATAACTGCTTAAAAATAGTTCATGATTAATCATGCGTATCTATGATCGATAATAATTTTTCCTTTATATTTACAAATATATAATTTTATCATAAAAAATAATAATCGACACTACAATATCGAACTATAAGAAGATGAAGTGACACTGGCTTAAATTAGAAGATGGTAAATACACTTTTCCCTTAAAAGATATTAAGGGGTAAGGTATCACATGAATGACTGCCAAGCTGAACCATGTATTAGGGTGTAACTTGGGTGGGTCAACTCAAATTCAATTTGAGCCAAAGTTGAAAAAAATAGTACTTGAGTTAGAATTTTTAATACTTGGTTTGGACTTAAGCAAAAAAATCCTAACTCAGATTGAATTTGGGCAAACCTCGGATTGAGGCCTCAAATTGTCAGAGTCAACCTGAATATTAAAATCGGGTTGAACCCGAATATACATAAATAGTTAGTATTTATCTTTATTTTTTAGAGTCTAGACTTTCACTTCACTTCAAGTCTTTCACCCTGCGCCTCCATCACTCTCATATCCCTCTCTCACTCGTCATTCTTTCCTCTCTTACCCTTTCTCTCAATTGTCACTCGTCTGAGCCGTCTCAGACTCTCAGCCTCCCTCTCTCACTCGTCACTCTTCCCTCTCTCTTCATCTGTATCTCGTCCTTCATCTCAGATCATTTGAAAAAATCATATTTACACTTGAAAAAATCAAATCTACACTTCAAAAAATTAACCCGAATTAAGTAACACAACCCATAATTTTAATCCGATTTAAGTAACTCAAATTCAACCCAAGCTTGTCCGAATTAAACTCGAGCAGTACTCAGATTGAGTACCTCCAGTTGAGGTAGGATTAGGGTTAAAAATTATATACTTAGAGTTGACCTCTCAACCCACCCAACCTGCCCGAGTTGCCCCTAATCACATACCATGAATAAATGGAAATTTTCTTGTCTATGCAACATTTACATGGGCCTTGTTTGAAAAGTGTAACAGCTATAAAGAAATTTAGCCTCTTGATACTTGGCGTATCGGTAAAATTATTTCATTGTGATCTAGACTTCACAGAAATATTCTCTTTGTTTACAGTGGTAAGATTACGTACATCTAACCCTCTTCTGATCCCAGAATAACGGAAATCTCATGCACTGAGTACGCCTTTTATACTTGAGTGAAACAAGAAGAGAAGATGAAGATGGTGTAAATTTTTACATGGCTTACTAGAAAGAAACCAAAAAAAAAAATTGTTAAAATGGGGAATCTTGATATTATCGATGATTTTAGTGTCTGCACTGGCTTAGTTGAGTGCAGACACTAAAATCATCGAACACTTTATTGTTTGTATTGTAATAGAAGCAGTTGTTTAACAACTAAGTACAAAATAAGCAAAGAAACAAGGAACCGTGTATTATTTATAGACTTACAGAGGAGTCTCATAACATCAAGTTGTAGCAAACAGATTATTCATTCTCTTCTATTGCTTTTTTTGCTACATAGAAAGTGACTGAGAGATGGAGATTACCACTGTGAAATCTGAAGTATGCTCGGGTAACAGTCGCTTGTGCATCGAGGAAGGTGATATTCAAGTTCCTAAGTGTGTTAAGAGACGACGACGATCTTCCCCGGGAGTTCCTCTGTGTAGCAATGAACAGCAAGGAGAATTACTGCAGCCTCAGGTGTTACAGGTTGACCAAACTACTCCCGCCACTACAACTGTGAAGAGAAGTTCGAGATTTCGAGGAGTTAGCAGGTCTCATATTGGAGCTTCAATTGTTTTGTGCTTTTAGTTATTTGCTAAAATTTCATGGAAACTTTTTTCTTGTTTGGTGCAAAGTTGAAGCTAACGTTATATGCCTCGACAGACATCGATGGACAGGACGTTATGAGGCTCATTTATGGGACAAAGGGTCATGGAATGCAACACAGAGAAAGAAGGGAAAACAAGGTGAATATTACTACACACATTGGTCTTCACAAATATTTCTTCTCATTCATATTTTACTCTTCCTGATTGCTTTCTGCCTTATTTCTTCCTGATTACTCTTCCTGATTGGGCAAATTTTTTGGGTGGAGCAGTTTATCTTGGTGAGTGCCTCGATTGCTAGTAATTTAACGTTGTTTCACAGCAAAATTAGATGGGCACTTATTCTTTTATGTTGCAAATTTATCAGGAGCTTATGATGAAGAAGAATCAGCAGCAAGAGCCTATGACTTGGCTGCAATCAAATATTGGGGGTCCTCAACTTTCACAAATTTCCCGGTATAGTTCTCATATGCGTGAATCTGATAGTTTTCTATAGTTGGTTAATTGACGGATCATGGAACACTGAACACTGGTTTATTTTTCTTTACCTCAGGTTTCTGATTATGAGCAAGAGATTGAGATAATGCAGAATGTGACAAAAGAGGAGTATTTGGCCTCTTTGAGAAGGTATTCAACATACCAACTACTAGATTACTAGACTTAATACAAGCCTTCTCTTAATCCAAAATTAATTGAGCTTTTCATTGTTTATTTCAGAAGAAGCAGTGGCTTCTCAAGAGGTGTATCCAAATATAGAGGAGTTGCCAGGTAAATAGAAATTTTAACCATAACAGCTTGCGTTTGCTTTGTCGCTAATGAGTAAAACTGTTCATACTCAGGCTGCATTTCAATGACTGCAGGCACCATCACAACGGCAGATGGGAAGCAAGGATAGGGAGGGTTTTTGGGAACAAGTACCTTTACCTTGGCACTTACAGTGAGTTTCAGCCTCTTACAACTAGCAAATTATCGATAAATTGACAAACTTGGATTCTTTAAGGTGTTTCAATTGCTAAGGTCCATATGGTTTGAAAGATGGCTTTGTGTCTTGCAGGTACCCAAGAGGAAGCTGCTCGTGCTTATGATATTGCAGCAATTGAGTACAGAGGGATCAACGCAGTGACCAACTTTGATTTGAGTTCGTACATAAGATGGCTAAGGCCAGTTTCTGACTCACTTCCCTCTCAGGGTCCAAGATCAGATTCTCTGCAGCCTGCACAAACCACATCTAACTTCATTTATTCGAATGAGGAACCCGAGCTCTCCTTCACCTCCAATCCTCTAACAATGAGAGAAACAGGCACTCCTCAGAAACAAGAAATTATAGAGAGAAAGATGCCCATTGGTCCTTGCAAGTCGTCTTCGCCAACAGCACTTGGCCTACTCCTTAAATCTTCCATGTTCAGAGAGCTGGTGCAGAAGAATTCCAATGCTGATGCTGAAGAAACCGAAGAAAATGACACCAAGAACCAAGCACAAATTGACAGAGAAAATGAGTTTAGAGAGATCTTTTACAGTGGAATCAACAGTAACCCATACCTCTGTTCCTCCAGTAGTGATAAGTTGCCTGGATTGGAGTCGCAGAAGGTGAACACATCGCCATTGCGAGATCAAACCGGGACACCCTTCTGGATGTTATCTAAGACAGGCCACCTCTCCAACAACTAACAAATTGTAAATGTGTTGTAGTTTGGAGGATCATAACAGTAGTCAAACAGAAACTGATGTGATGCAGCCTCCTTCTTAGAAATGCACAAGCAGTAGCTGCAACTAATTGAGAGCTATGTAGCCTCTTAGTGTCACTTCATATTGCAATAAACTCTGCAGTTTTCAGATTATGAAAGAATCTAAACGTATGATACAATAATATTAAGGGGTTCAAATTCTAACCAAGTTAAAGTATCTCTATACAAAGCACAATTACGACCATACCTAAACTGACCATACGCCACTATTGTTTCGGAATGCCATCCAGGATGGCCTGACCAAAGGCTATTTGATCTTCGGCGATGAGGGGAAGTCGGAGATGGGGGTTGATACAAACCCTTTGCAGAAGACAGCCATTAGCATGGTGGAAGTGGGGCAGTCGAATACCCCAAGAAATTTGTACAATTTCATTGAATATGACTATAAATGAGCTGAGTATAGACTATACAAATTTTAACATGGCATGACATGACATTGATACAAAATGAATTTAACACGGTGCCACCCATTGTGAGAGTAGCTTAAGGTGAGTTATGGAGTGTTGCCTATTATTGAGTGTTTGAACTGGGGCTTAGTTTTGTTGGTTTGGAATGACTTTCTTGTGCAATTATAGGCTCAAAACCATTTCGAGGATTGCATTCCCTGCCTGGCTATTTTCCACACCATCTTCACTGTGCATCAAGCCCAATTACTCCGTCCTACACAAAGTGAAAAGTGCAAACAGCTATGGCTGCAAGGGCATGGAAGAAAGGTAGGAGTGTCAACACAATAATAATCTGCATTTCGAACTCGAAAATGATGCAGCTTATTAATGCGAATAATAAACCAACGGAGTGTTTGTTAGACACAAATAACCCGTTCACTTGATATTGCAAAATAAAAATGTGCTTATTTCTTTATTGTAAGAAATACTTTTGAATAAATAATTTTTTTTACCATAAATATTGTACAAACTACGCATCAACCAAAATAATGTGACACGACTATAACAATTCAAAATAACACACAACAAAAATAACATAACATACTTCGAGTAATACCCCTTTAAAAAAGAGATATCGACTCTATTCCAGCATACTCTGAAAAGCAATGATATAACATCCAAAGGATAGTCCAATGGAAATAGGGACAAACTGTAAACTCATGTACCCTAAGTTCGAAACTTAAAAATTCTGCCGACCAAATTATTGAGGATAAATTCCACACAAATTCTCTAATTCTGATGTGAATGACCTACATTTAACCGAAAAAAAATAAAATTAGTCGGACAACCTGACCACAATACCTTAAAAAAAATAAAAGAAGGCATGGGAGCTCTTAATCTCGTCACAATTTCATGTCTGTTTGAAAGTCCTTTTTCACCTTCCAATAGTCTTTGATTATGACTTATGATACTGTATTTAATTCAAATCACAAACAGGCCTATCAGCAGATATCCGATCCAATTTAAATCCATTTACAAAAATTTCAATCTGAATTAAAACCAGATATTCAATCCAATTATACGATCCAACAAATCATTTGAATTTTAACAAATTATACTTAATTTTAAAAGAATCACGCAAGATCATCACTTATCTATGTACTTATATGCATATGATTTGAATCGGATCATAGTCAATGGATATTGTTATCAAAATTTGAATCAATTGAATTTACAAGATAGAAAGAGAGATCGGTTAAAAATATTAATCTATATATCTCACAAATCAAACAACCCGTATTCAAATTAAATCTGGATACCCATTGACAGGCCTAATCGTGAGTAAAACAAGCTCCCCTCTACCTATCAATACTGCAGATAGCATTGTTATTGCTTCACCAATTTCAGTCCAGAACCCGAGAGGCGAGGTGAAATACTTGTCACTACACACCGTAGCAAGGTATAACATACCAATTGATTCTACTCCAATCAAGGAGATGCAGTAAGAAGTTCTAGCATGTGAACAAGGACAAACATTTATGCAAGTGAATGTTTCAGAGAAAAAAAGGCAAAAAGAGAGACCAAATGCACCGTGTGTATGTGTATGTGTGTGACCCCGCGCGTGCGTGTGTGTGAGAGAGAGAGAGAGAGAGAAGGGCCTTGATAATACATGTACATAATTGAATATTCAAAAAGAACATCATATAAGGACATGTTAAGAATCGACGATTTAACATAAAAACAAAGAACTTTGATTTGCTCTGTAACCTACACTAGCAATTTAGTAACCAAACATACGATCCAAGACTTCATTATTAGAAGATAGGAATCTTCCACCTCCACTGGCATACGCTAAAAAGAAAAGCCACATGACATCCTTTTGAACGTCCAAATCAACACTTGATTGAAGCCGTCCTGCATCATTTCAACATAATTAGTGGGAGATGAAAAAAGAGCATTTTGTCATGTAAAAGCCTAGGAAAGGAAGAGTAGGAGAAGATAGGCAGATTTTATGGAGCATAAACAAAAATGGCTTATTCATTCTTAGCCTGTTCACCATAAGGCAGTAGCACTTATAACATATGTAGCACTTCTACTATGAGGAAAGAGAGAAGAATACCCAACCCCCGCAATTCATGATTGCACCCTCAAACTATGTCAACTTAGGTGTCTCCATCACTCAGCCAACTGATTTAGAAAAAAGGTTTCTTTCCCCTCTAAGGAGAGGAACGATATCTGACATGAAGATAAATGTTCCTAAACGGACCTCAACATACATGACGAAAAATATAGTGTGTATTGCTGATCAATCCAGATACGAGTTTTCATGAACAAATTAGGCCAAACGGGAGCATTGGTGTTGTGTAGTTTCTAATTGCCAGTTGCAGAATTTACCAACAGGAAAAAAAAAATTGGCCATTGGTGAGGGATAACTTTTAAGGATCATTGACCAGCTAAGAAAACAAAAAAAGAAAAGGGAAAACAACCAAAAATCAAAATTTATCAAAAAAAAAAAAAAAAAGTTTCCCCCATCCGCTAACCCCATCCTTCATCTTTCAGGAGAACAAAACTTGACAAACAAAGAGAATTCAACAGATACCTCATCAGGGTTCTTGGTCGATCATCCAACTTATCGATGCTGTCTTGCACAATGCCATCTGTTATTGATCTATGGGTATCAAATGATGGTAAAGAGCCTGCAATATCCTTAAGACCCTGCAAAAAAATCATGTGACATCAGGTTCAAAGGAAGTTGTACACGTGGCACACTTTCTTTTCAATTTGATTACTCAAGATCAGTCTTTTCACTAATCCAGAATCATTCAATGATAGAGTTACCAGCAGATTCTTTTCCCCTTTTTTTTTTCCCTTTTCCTTCTGTATCTCAAGGTTTATCTTGGACTTAACAACATCTCGCCATGTGTAACATACATATGATATTATCCATAATAAAATCCAACACAAACTATATCACATGATTCACATACATAAATAAATAATGAAAAATATCACCCGTAGCATATGAATGGCCTCCACCAAGTCTAATAGTACAAAAATGTCATGCATATGAAACAAAATTTTCCCAAAATGCTGCTTTGAATCAATTACTAATCAGGGAAATGACAATCTTTGCTAGATATCTATGATTTCGGGAGAATAAAGTGTAGTCATAACTACATGTGAATAGTCATAAATTTGCTAGCAAGCAATATACAAGCTACTGAGAGGAGAAATGTGCAAAGAAAAAGCAGAAAACCAATCAGATGGTGACCTCTTATCTGCTGTGTAATCAGCTTCTGTACGATCATCCAGCAATAAAATGAAGCTTAGAAGTAAGGATAATACCTTGAGAGACTGTGATTGAGAAGATGGGAGATAACCACCACACTTGCCATAGTGTTCAACTTGTTCCTGCAAGAACACATCGAGAAAACAATGAGTTCACAATGAGCATTTTGTTATCCCAAAAAATAAAGCAAAAGTATTTTTATCACTGCAAATCAAATTCGAAAACCTCCAAGAGATGGGACAAATCTCCATCAACAAGAAAATTCAAAAAAAACTGCTACAAAATTCATCAAACGTTCAAGGGCGTGCTGAAGAACTTTATGTTATCTCCACAAAATTGATGTAAATTCTAAATTAGTTGGGAAGAAAATTTAACAGATGCTGTCGTCGTAGGTGACATATTAACAATGGGAATTTTAGGTCCTGAAAGCCAACTCGAAAGCAGGTGACGGGCAATTAAAATAATACTCAGAACAGAACATGATCTAATTAGATAGGCAGGAGTGCGTTAATATGTGGATTACAATATTTTCTTATTATACTAAGGCAGCCACTAAAGTATTCCACCCACAGAGCATGCTACATAGGTACTATAGGAAATAAAATGTTAATCGAAATTAGAATCAGTGTTGTAGTGGTGGTGCCGTGGTGGTTAAGTGGTAGAAACATGAATTTATCACCAATTGTACAAACCTGAAGGAATTTAGGCATTTTTACTTTTCTTCCCTCAGCAAGGTTCAACAAGACAAACACGCCAGCATTTGCAAGATCCTGTTGCCACAATCATGCAAGGAAATCCACAACAGTGATTAAAGATTGAAATTACACAATCAATGATTAAACAGATATATTTAGATCCTTCATGATCTAACATACTATATGCACACAGACCCAACTAATAGTGTCTCTTTGAAGGCTGGAAGTTCATCAATAATAAATAATGACTTTACACGTTTACAGAAGTTTATCTGTCACCTAGGATGCTATTTATTCCAAATTATTATCAATTGACTATGAAAAGCAGAAACCTTTCCCAGATCATCAAGATGAAACTCTTCTTTTGAGTACAGATATGGTCCCTGTCCTTTTCACAAAGCATTTGTAAAACTTAAAAGACACAATAAAAACGGTAAGTAATATGATCGTACCCAATATTTTATACTAAAATATGGTTCCTAATTTTCATTCTAGATAAAAGATGGAAGTTGGTTCACCTGCTTGTCTTCCAATGACATCATCTTGCCATCCTGCAAGCCATGGAAAAAGGGGGAAAATAAGGAAGCAATCAACAAGAAGTAAAGGAGTTTAAGTAAACAACTCAAGAATTCAAGAGAAGAATGGGGTATTCAATAAATTCAGCTGAGCAACACTATAATTTCTATGCCAATTGCCAAGGCCATCCAAAATAAGCACTATAACATGTTGTCCTAGTCATACTCCTTATAAAAAAATTCATGAGGCCAAATCCATGTCAAGATGAAAAGGTCAATGCTCTCATGTATAAAAGACAGGAAACAGCTTTCCACTAAACATCAGAGCGGGGGTGGTCAAAAGCACCAGCACCAAGTGAAGAAACTATGCTAACATTACTCTTTACATAATAACCAATTGACCTTTTCTACCATGTGTATATGATAAAAGATCTTACCCAAAAAAGAGTGCACTCCACTGTGAATCCATATAGTTCTAGTCAGTCTAAATTGTTATTTTGTCAAAGTGTAATCTTCTCATGTGTCAAGTTCTGCTGGTTTCTAACCATGATGCTTGTCAACACACTTGGATGAACAGCTTTACATGATTGCAAAGTTTCAAAATTACCATCTAACTCTTACAGTTCAGAACTGCTCCAGAGCAATCATCAAAATAAGACCAAAACAAGGGCAAAATCCGCATACAAAGCATGTAGTTTGATTATCAAGTCCACCAACAGTGATTATAAACCCAATCTACCCTCCAACTCAACCTCCTCAAATTAATTTGTAATGCCAAACTCAATCATCTTGAGCACCGGTTTCAAGGATGTTAGCCTAAAAACTGTAAAGCAATCCAAGAAAGTTAAAACCATAGAAGACTTTGCGCAGTCAAAACTATCTCAGTACACACCTTTTCTGGGATATTTTTTAGAGAGATCTATATATAGACAAACGAAAGTGCTTTTCGAAATTGTTCATTCTTCAAATTAAAGCAGTTAAATGAGGGAGTTCGTAAAAATTGACAAGTTAGACAAAATAGAACTCACAATAAATCTTACCTTAGAACTAAAGGAGATAATCATCCTGAGCCTCCCGAGCTTGGCTATGCTCAGGCTCGGCTTGGACTCTTCAAAGGATGTTCAAGCTCGGCCCAAGCCGAGCTTGAGCCACTCACAAAAAAATCTAAATTCACAATCTCCAATGCACAATCCAAAATTTTCACGTAAAACGCTCATAAATCCTAACCTTAACACCAAAAACCTCTAAATCACAGCAGAACATGTTAACAGTATATACCATAGCCATGTACATGTATATTCTAGTACCAGTTATTGGGTAAGATGGGATGGTGATTCATTCTAGGGTTTGGATTGGGGCAAGAGATGCTGGTGGGTAAGGAAGGACACATAATAATCGACTCCATGGATGTATAATACTAGGAGTGGGAGAGAGGAGGGACGACTCCGTAAAAGAGAGAGAGAGAGAGAGAGGGAACTGAAAAATGAGAATGAAGAAAAGGAAGGCTTTTCTTCTCAATGGAAGGGGATTTAATTAAGTGTGAGAGAGAGAGGCCCACATGGTAGAGAGGAAAAATGAGGGCTGGCACTTGGCAGACAAGCCCATGTGCAAGTGATGATGGTCTGGATTTTGAAATGTATTTTATGTTTGCTATTTTACTAAACTATCCTTGAGATTACTAATAATTTACAAGCATGTTTTGTACAGCAAAAAAAATGAGCCCGCAAATAGCTTAGGCTCGGCTCGGATATAAAACAAGCTTAAAAATTTGTTCTGATTCGGTTTGTTTTACTATATGAGCGAGCCAAACACGAGCCGACCCCTAACTACCCAGTTCGTTTAACAGTCATACTCGGAACAGCTAGTTCTTATAATGTATGACGTGAATTTTGACGACGTTGTAAATAAAACTCACCAAACCAGAAACCATACTCTGTAATGTATCCAGGTCGTAGCCAATTTGAGAAAGATCAGAACGTGCATCATTAACCTGTAACACAAGTTTGAAAATTTTATTCATTTGGGAAAGTTCAATCATTATGCTAGTGGTCCTACTCATTAACTATAAAAGATAGCCAGAATTGTAATTTTTTAAACCCACTGGACAGAACGTAATTTCATTTTCAAACCTATTCTTTGTTTGAAGCTAGGTCTGAGCTCAAATTATGTACTCTTAAAGGCAGCACAGAATGAGAATTCTGTTTTGCAAATGTACCTTATTATTAATTGACTTTGATAGCTCCACTTGCTCATCTAGTTTTCCATCCACGTTCTCAATTCGCTGTGTCAAATGCCTCTTTGTTGCCTGTCAAAAGAAGATATTTAACAATGATCAAGAAAACCTTATAATCTTCATCAAATCATCAGAACATCAAGCATTTGTTGGAGCACAGCAGAAATGCAATCATCTCACTTCATTGAAAATATAGCAATATGAAAATCATAAGAAAAAAAATGGTGAACATAACTACTAAATTTATCTTAATCCAATACTAGCTTGTCAAAAAACTTCAACAAAGGACCAACTGTAATATGAAAGCTGTGGCACATGCTGCACATGTCCCATAACTATATGTATATGTAAATAACACATTTTTTTGGGTGAGGTACTTGTTCATAATGCAGGGTATATAACAAATATAATGTGATGTCCATTAACATTGAGCTAAGTTTGCTTTGAAGCCCACCCCAGAATGAGTAGAAAGTAGAAACCATTGTCGGTCTGTTTTGTATGAATTTAGGAATGTGGAAACTTAAGTAAGATTCTTCAATTTGTAGCAAACTAGTATGATCAGAGCAGTATTAAGATTAGAAATTCCATTTGGCAAAATAGTTATGATTTACTCCTCCATTCGCAACATGAGAAAATGCATATGCCAAAATCATATTCATGTTCCCTCATAAAACGAGAGCATTTCCCTTGAAGAACAAAGATCTAGTCATCTACTGATTAAAATCATTCAAAAGAATACGTTGTGAGAATGAAAGAAATTTTCACCAAAAAACAAGAAAACAGTTAAGGGGGATTCCATTATTTGGAAGGACTTCAATAATTTGGAATGTTTCTCGAAGTAAGTTTTAGGCAGGCATAGAGAAAATAAAGGGAGACTGCCCTCGGACCCTGAGTTCAGCAAGACACAAAATGTATCCTTCATAGGGGATCATGATGCAACGAGAAGTAATAAGGTTGAGATCAGATAGGTACTAGTTATAGATGGTATAAGCCTACTTCAATTGCACATCCACTGTTGAAGAAATATCTCAGTTGACGGTATTGACAAAGAACATGTAATTGGAGAACATAGACTCACAGCAAGCGCCTCGGACACATGCTCCAGATGTTTTGTCATGTTTGAAACAGCATTTGTCATATTACGCTTTGTCACGTACATAAGGTCTGAGAATGAAAGACCCTAAGAATTCAAAAATGAAGGGAAAAAAGAAAACAATAGAGAAAAATTAGTTTTATCAAAGAATACAAATTAGTCTCAGAACTCTAAAAAAGACAGAAATATCAACTACTTTTATTAAATAGAGTTACTTCAAGCATTTGAACATGCGAACCTAGAAAGTAGTGAAATAAAACAAACTAAACTCTTGCAGAAGTAATAAACATGGAAACATAAGGGAACATCTTATCCTACCTTCCACCACATGTATCCATAACCCAAGGCCCCTAAGGCAGCAGCTGGTACAACAAGAGATGTCAAGTTACCTGGCAAGAGAGAGAGTGTGAGAGAGAGGAGGTAAAATCCAACAGCAACAATAGTTTGTTGAAAAAGAATAAAAACCACTGAAGTCTGTAGCATAGGGCAACATTGTGCAATGATATGCTTGTGTGAAAAAAGAAGCAGTAGTAAAGAATATAAAGCAATCAAAACTATTAGGAAATACCAGCAGAATTCCCATTCAGAACAGTTATCTGTCGTGTTGAGGCCAACTGTTTGACCTCCATCGCTAACCGACGAACCTATAAGACAATCAACAAGAAATTAAGGCAATAAAATTTCTGGCTCACTAAAGAATGAAATGCCAAGGGACAAATCACACTGCAACCGATCCAACTCCATTTCTACCACAATCACAAACAGATATTTAATATAAGCAATTAAGCATTATCCGCAGTAGATTAAACAATCTACAACTGTGAATGTTAAGGATGCATATGCTTCATACTATCTGAAACTCACCAGAACAAAATCCTATTTTGGATTATCTTACCACCATGTTTCCCTTTAGCCTAAAAGTCAAACACCCTTGTTTGAAGAACCAGCATATCATTAAATTAAAGGTATTTGAGCAAAACAGTGTCTACACACAATTGAAGTTGTCAAAAATTACATCTCATACATAAGGTTCACAAGCAAAACTAATGCCTCATTCCACTTTCACCAAAGACTTGATTGAGAATTGCAGTGAGTTAATATAAAATCATTTCCATTAGCGAGCCACTTAGGCAGCCACACTAACATCTCACACTTAGGGGCTCCAAGGTAGTTGTGGCAAAGAGGGAGTCGCAGAATAGGGAATATGCCATGTGGGACTCACAACAACATTGTCACAGGACTGCCATAGACTCTCGAGAATGGTGAGTAACATAAAAGTAGAGGAGAGAATGTAAAATAAATTCAGGGACACCTGTTATATCTGTGTAGGACAACACATCGGACACTATCACCATGACATTCGATTCCATTACACGTGCCTAGGAGACGATAGCCTTCTCCTATAAGCTTTCCACTATCCTTACTAGAAGGGGGTCTCTATCTCTCCCTTCACTCCCCCCTCCGTACCCACAAGAATCTATACACATGGTATCACTCAATATCATACCTAACGCTACATAAAAATTCTTCATTTTATGGTGTTTCTGGTTGTTGATGTGCCAAGAATTTGAAATAATTAGGAAAAGAAGCGCTCGCCATTCCCCAAGTACCGGCCATTATTATGAAGAGTCTTCAAAAAAAAAAAGGGCATCAAGCACTGCACCAATTGTTCCTTTCAACCTCACATCCTGTTTTTGAAGGGAAAAAGGGCCTTCACATTACAGAGAGAGGTCAGGTTAGCAGGGTGCTGGGGATTGGTAGGATTGGTAGGGGAAGACCTATTTTTTGTATAATTTGCACAGAGTATCTGTTCCCACATTCAAAAACATGTTCTCATGCTTGACAGCCCAAGATTTGACCAGAAAGGGAAAACATGGAAACCTACTATGCCCTTGTGCCTTCAAATTTCTTCATTGCTTTCACAACGTGAATAGAATAGCATTGCAACTCTCCCAATATTTCAAACAGAACCGAATAACCAATAAAGCACCCGCAATAACCAACCAAAAACAAAAATAAGAAAGGAAAGCTTATAACAAGAAGAAGAAATTTGACCTAGTACAAAATTCAGTATAGCTTCTATTCAACCGTCAGCATTCATACCTGTTGAGCTATGGCATCTGCATAGTCGGAGTCACCATTGGATTCATCTCCTTGTTTTTCATTACCTTTCACCAAATTCTGCCCCGAACATGAAAAATTAACACGTTTAAAATGTAGCAAAGAAGTCGTCTTAGTTTCAATTTAAAAGGCCACAACAAACCCAAAATCAAATCAATAACAGCCTCAAAAAATTCCCCTTAACAACGGCAATTTAACGATTATATAATACACACATAACACAAACAGATACATATGCACCCACATATATGTATAGGATTTCATCCATGGTTTGTGAAATCGAGCTGGAGTGTTGAGTACCTGAAGTTCGCCCAATATATCAGATAATTTACCGTTCTTGAACAGGAACGTACCGGTATACCCTGTAAGAATTCATACGCATATACAATTGTTCTTAACAATCGGATCGAAATTGAAAAGCAAATCAATCAAAAACAAACTGTTAACACATACAGATTTGGAGTATTACCAGCTCCAACTAAGATGAGAATCCTAGAAGCGCCAATTCCAGCTTGCATCGCCATCGCTGGTTGTCAACACTTGGTGTTGTGATCCACAAAAAAACCTAAGCTTCCTCTATCCTCTCTGGTCGCCGAGGGACTCTGACTTGTTCCAAAGTTCAAACAAGTACGAAGTGAGTTTAACCTGCTTCTACGAGATTAAACGGCGTCGTGTTTTAGTGTTATGGGCCTGATGGCTATGGCCCAGCTTATTGGACTGTGTTACTGCGTCTATAGTACCCACTCAAAGGTGGACCTCAGCGGCTGGCTTAATGCTATTGTCTCGTTATTAAGCTTTAATAAGATTACAAGTTCGAATTTCATTGTTTTTCTCTGATGTATAACTCAAAAATAAAAATAATATAAAAAGAATTTATTAATTTATTTAATAAAATAACTAGTATTTTAAATTTTTATTTCTTATATATTTTTCCATTCATTCATGTCATATCATTCCTTTTTATCTCAAGTTAAATAATTTAATTTTTAATTAATTTTCACATTGTTCGTGTATCATAATTTACACATACTGATATTTTTTTAAGGTTATGTATTGTGAAAAAAAATTATTAATTTTTTTTAAATAATGTGTAAAAATTAATTTTAAATCATGTAATTAAACAAGATGAAGAAAAAAATTACTATTTAATATACTGGTGTTGATTTTTTGGATAATAGGATTTTATGATACATTATACCTTCAAATATAGGTTAAAATAAATTGAACTAGTATTAAATATGAATAATTTAATTTTAATGACATACACTCGTTTGGCTAGTAAATTCATTTCTTGTACAAATTGTCGTGGTATTAACATTTTGTTTACTTGATTTTTGCTAGAATGTTGATCAAACAACTTTTTAATTCAGGACAACCTGACGACAATGCACCATCTATAATACTACCATTTAAATATGATGAATCTAAAACAATTATAACATTATTTACATTGTCCCCTCGTACAGAATAGGGTGGTCTAATGGGATATTGGTCAAACTTCTTACCATGAGAATAGAGATTTGAATCTTAAATTCCACATTAAGGCTCAGTAGTTGATCGTTATACTAGTAGTTAAGTTTATTTTTTGGATGAGTAACGGACGTGGTCAAAGACCTTATAATCCCACCAATAAGAGTTTATCAAATGTGGTCTCTGAACGCTCTTCTTTGTCCCCATCCTTTTTTTCCAGTAGCTAAACAAAAAAAAATTGTCACCTCATAATACAAGTGGTAGTTGAGTTATGAAAAATTTTGTTACAATTGCAAATGTGATATGAAAATTAATACGATTTAGTATTAAGTCATGGTTATGCAAATTATATACATCAAATTGTGTTTTTTAATACACAAAATACTTTATCATTATACTAAATTTGGTATATATAATTGGTGTAACGATGTCGAGATACTAAATAATGCAACTATTTAGTTTTATGTAAACAATTAAATGACAAATTAAGTTGGTGTTATAAATTTGTATAATTGTTTAGTGTAACTGTTTGGTTTTATTAGAACGCGTGAGTAACTGTTTGGTGTATTATAAAACAATTGTAACTAATTAGTGTAATTGTATTATTGTAATGTAGATATAAATAGAAAGAGAAACACTTAGAGAAAATAGGGAGAGAGAGAGAGAGAGAATAGGGTAGAGATATGAAAAAATAAATTAAATCTTTATATGTTTAGAAAGAAAATAAATTATCTATTATAGATAAAGAGAGAAAATATAGGAGAGATAGAGAAAGTAATGGGGAGAGAGAGAAATATGGAAAGAAAATAGGGGAGAGATAGTGAGAGAGTCTAATAAAATATTTACATATATGATTAGACTAGCAATGCACACGTGCGTTACACGTGAAAAAAATTTAATTCATTAATTTGCTATTAAAATTATTTGAAACAGTACAAAATTGATGAGTAATAAAATTGAATTAATTGTTGTAAAAGTAAGTGAATAATTAAAATACCAAGAAAAAAATATTTAATTTTGTACTCTCAAAATTTGATAAATTTCAACCAATAAATGATAAAAATACTCAAAAACATGGTACATATAAAAATACCCAATAAATGTTAGATTTAATTTATTTATTATTGGATTGACTGTTGGTCTCAATAAATGTTATAATTTACTATCAATTCAAAAATTAAGAATAATTAGGTCAATATTATAAGAGATTTGAACAAACTTTCAAAATATTAGTTATATGAGTAATGAAAATTTGGATTCACGAGAAGTTGTAATAAAATAAAAAAAACACTAGCATAGAAAATTTTAATGTAAACATAGAAATTAATAAACTAACCTCAATTATGCCGAATACTCAACTTGTCACATCAATTTAATAAACTAAAGCATACAAATTAATAAACTAACCTCAATTATTATACCAAATTCTTGACTCGCCACACCAGTCTCTTATAATGCTGTTTGACATTAAATTAAAAAAAAATTAAGTGTCACAGAACATAGGAATTAATAAACTAACCTCAATTATGCCGAAAACTCCAACTTCGACTTCATTGAGTTTGTCTCAAAAGAGCACGAGACCATAGAATTTCAAATAAATGACTATGGCAGACCAACTTCTAACTCTAATGTGAATGGAATAAAAAACTTATTCGATAACTTTGCTGGAAAGTTTGATATATATATATATATATATATATATATGAAGGAATTCAAAATATTTTAGAAGTCTAATAAGTAGAAAAAATAAAAAAAATATGAGTAATGCTACATAGATTTAAAAAGTAGACTTAAAAACTAAAGTTGATAATCTCAACCATTAATTTCACTATGGGTCTCAGCATTTATTGGGATTCACTACCTATTCAATAGTTGAGATTATCAAGTCTAATTTTTAAATCTATATAGCATTACTCAAAAAATATATGCATATGTATCACCTAAAAATTACAAATACATGGTATTAGAATTCTAGTAGAGTTTGTACAATTGAATGAAAAATAAAGAATATATTATCATAGAGATAAAATTTATTTATCAAGTTATAGAAAAAGTTTATATAGCTAATATTTTGATAAAGTTTATCTAGGTAATATTTTGATAAAGTTTATCTACCAGGTCATAGAGATAAAATTTATCTAGCTAATATTTTGGAAGTCAAGTAGGTATGAAAGACAAGAAAATATGTGGGTATAATTGGTTTTATGGTAATAATTAAGAGTGAAATAATAAATCAAAAAATTTTCACACATGTTGATATTTATAAGTAGTATAGATATAGATATAAATATAGATATATAACTGTCAATCAAGAATACATAATTTAAGGAAGGGTATTTAAGTAAAACAGTTTTGATTTCATTTGAATTTTGTACATAAACACAATATGTTTTATTAAAATTGAACTTAATAGAATAAACAACTTATCCATACATTTTTTCTCAAATAAGTTTAAAAAATTATACCCACAGTCAAAAAACCTATTTTTTTTTGAGTAAATTTTTTTTTTATTTTTTTTTTCAAATTGGACGGGCTACAGAAAAGCCCGCATGAAAAAAGTTCTTGGGCTTTTGAGCTGAAACTGTCTGGGCTGAACTATAGGCTCTACGGACTCATTAGAGCTTATTTAGAAAGCCCATTTTTATCTATCAACACTTTGGAAAGCCCAACTAATATCACAGTACATATCCACGACACACACAAACAGTCCATACAAAACCTCCACCACCACAGCAATGTCTCTCCTCCTCGCCTCTCACTCTTCCTTCCTCTTCAAGAACCCCAACACCACAAAACTCCATTTCTCCACCCTTCACCCTCTCAAACCCCCTGCTCTCTCTTTCTCTCTCCTCCCCTCACCACCCTCAAACCCTAGAAGAATCCGCCTCTCCTCCATCCGCTTCTCCTCGTCCAATTTCTCCGGCGACCTTCCGGACCCACCCTCCTTCAAACCTCCGGCAGAGGAGCCCGAAAACGACGAGGTATCAGACAATGCATCACCCTCCACTTTTGTCGACGAGTGGGGCGAGAAGGCGGAGCCAGAGGCCAAGCCTTCGACCAAATTATCGGATTCTGATCCTCCAAAGGATGAGGACGAATGGGGTGGAGTTGGAGTGGAATCGGGTAATGGTAGTGCTGGTGTTGAAGTGAGTGGTGCTGATGATAAGCTTTGGGAGCTGAAGAAGGCTCTGGTGGACACTGTTTATGACAATGATTTTGGGTTTCGGGCGTCCTTGGAGGTCCGGGCCGAGGCTCTGGAGTTGGTTACTCAGTTGGAGGCAGCCAATCCGACTCCGGCGCCAACCGAGGCTGTAGAGGTGCTTGATGGGAATTGGGTTTTGTTGTAAGCTCATTACTCTGTTCTTTTGAATTCATGCGTTAATTGTATCTGTCTATTTGTGTTATAAGTGTTGGTTTAATTGATATGTTGATGGGTATCAGTGTGGTGGAAAAATAGGAGGTGGGAAAATTAAAGTGCTGTTGGTTGGTTTGAATGTCAGAAATTGTTTTTCGGTTTTTAGAAACAAGTTTTTGGAAGAAAAATTGATTGACCAGCTTTTTTGTTTTTGTTTTTAAAAAACTGAGAATAAAAAGTGGGTAGATTTATGAAGTAAGTTGGGGTTGCTTTGTGTGTGTTTGGAAATAATCTTTTCAGAATTTAAAAACCACCCCCACAACCACCACCACATTTCCAGCACCACATCTCCACCTCCACCACCACCACACTTCGGCCACCACCGCCATCACCACCACACTTCCACTACTACCACATTTTTTTTTTCATTATTTTTTGGGTTTCTGTATAAACAAGTTTTATTATTTATATTCCGTAGAACTGTTTTTGGAATCATATAACCAAACAAGTTTTTTGTCACAAAAAACACCAAAACAGTTTTCTAAAACACTTTCCAAAAACATTTTTAATATACTTTTTTTGAAGTGCAAACCAGACACAGTCTTATTGTTTCAGTTTCCATATTATATAATGGGAAAGATGAATTAGACTAAGTTGCCTAATTGGCTATGCCAAGACATTACCAAATTTCAAGTCTGGTAGGTTTGTAGGAAGTTCTTTGAGAACCATGGATTTCAATGCTGGTGAGTTCACAGATTGCAGTAACATTCCTGAGGGGAATTAATTGATGGTAGTTATAGATTAATGTGCAAACAAAGGACTAAAGGTGGACAAGGAAGGATGTCACAAATGAGGGAGACAGATGCTACACGATCCATGTGGAAATTGGAAGAACATAGACCAGATTTAACCACCAAGACTAATACATGTGCTTGATTAACAATTAATTTTTAGGACTTCATTAAATATTGTGCATTTCTTACTTTATGTGGGACTGCAAACGAATAAGGAGAGTCAAATAGTAGCATGCTTGAGCTTGGATTGGCAGAATTTGGGGGTGCTTGAGTTTGAATTGATCCACAAAACCTCTGTTAAGTTTGTTTTGGCATTTACTTGTTAGGCTCGCTAGCCTAGCGGCTTAGATTTGAGTGAGTGCGTCTTAGATATCCTGTACTTTTATGCGGCAGCCCTGTTTATCTTGTTTGTGATTGTTCCAACTTCAAATGTAAATTCAAACACATAATGTCATGACTGAGGATATGACATGGACGACATCAGCATGGAATCTATGCAAACTATTACTTGGATTCACACAAATGATTATGTATGTGCACACCTCTTCCTGGCACATGTAGGGAATAATTACACAAACAATAAAGTTGCCCGTTCCACTATGTTTGCATGTTGGAGCAAGCCATGTTCATTAATTAAACATGTCTAAATTAACAGTTGAGCTCGACTCACTTGTTTTATGCATGAGCTTGAGCAAGCCTTTTGCTTGACTGAGCCCACTTGTTCATGAATAGTTCAATCATCTACATCCCTACTAACTTTTCTTACTATCTTGTCCTCTCATGCAATGTGCATAATATATTCTTGTGAAAAATTCAAAAAGGTGGTGGACAGTTGAGTAATTGCTGTGAAGTAAAAACGTATGATTGGACAAGGCAACACATGCTGGTGTGAAGATAATATTTTAACGTGCATGCATTACTCTTCTTTCATAAAAGAACCCCAAAAAAGAGGCTAAAAAATGAACTGCCAGAGGAGGAAACTCTGCTGGGCTGGTAGTATGATGTGAATATTGTGGTAAGCATCATGATCTGGTTTTTCATCTATTAAAGAAAAGTATTGGAATCTAGTTTTTCTTTCCTCCAAGTCATATTTCCAGTCATTTTTGAATTCATACCTTCAGTACTAAGTATATCTAGGTGAACTTTTTGTACATTCTCATATTTGTGCTTAGTCCTGCATGATTATGCCCATCAGTCTATCTATATTAACTACAATTTAGTAAGGATGAGGAAACAAAAATAGGCTGGGGATCCTTTTGAGGTGTGGAGCTGCAAAGCCAATGGGCATCATCAAAGTGGAAAAAGCAAGAATTTTGTTCCAGATATATTTACTGCTTTTGTATGCCTCCCTACCACTTGCATGGGCCACAGGGCATATGTGCTAATGCATGGGGAAACTGTGCTTCAGTAAAATCATGCAGATTTTTGTGTTTCAATGTGATATGAATGTCCGGTGTTCCTGGTTAGTTTATTTGCATTCATTTGAATAAACGAGAACAAATGGCAAACCTCAGACAGGAACTCCTTGGAAGTGAATTGACGTGGTATGCTATTTGTTATTCAATCTATCCTTATTTTCATATAATTGATCAGGTACACGACATTTTTTCAGCTGTTACTTCTTCTGGCAGTGGACACAATCTCTTTGAATTCAAACCTTCAGTTCTCTATCTGGATTTTTAGTACATTTCCAACTTTGTGCTCAATCCTGCATCATTATGTCCAATCATGAAAATGGAAAAAGCAAGCATTTTGTTCAAAATATATGAATGGCAGACTGCTTTTGTATGCCTCCCTACCATTGCATGGGCCACGGGCCGTATCTATGCCAATGCATGAATTAATTGTGCTTCAGACCATGCAGATATTTGTGTTTCAACATGGTATTATTGTCCAGTGGAATGCTAATTTTTTCAAATCTCTGCTCATTTTATTTCTAATTGATCAGGTATACGGCATTTTCTGAGCTGTTGCCTCTGCTGGCAGTGGGCACAATCCCTTTGTTGAAGGTTGAGAGGATTTGCCAAGAAATTAACACCGGCAGCCTTACAATAGAGAACTCCATCACATTGTCCAGTCCGGTTGCTAGCTTCTCCTTTAGTGCTTCTGCTTCTTTTGAAGTTCGAAGTCCCTCAAGAATACAGGTATGCCTGGGTGTTTTAACCTAATTATGTCAAAGAGGCAGCTCCCATGAAAAAGTTCAGGAAAAATTAAAACAAATAGGTGACTTTAATTTGACATCAAAATTGTATTCTGCCAATATGATTAGAACAGCTTAACTATATGTTTTGAACATATGCAATTGACATATGTCGAGTTGTTGACAGGTTGCGATTCAAAAACTTGTTAACTTGACTAAAATTATTTTGATTTTGCATACATATAACTTAGAAAAGTTCGTGAATAATATACCTGGGAATGCATACTAGAATAATCATATTTCATTATTTTCGCATTATTTTGGAAGTTCATGATATATGTAATGGCTCCACTCTGGAATGCCCTTTATCTAGGAGTTGAGAATGATTCTCCAATGTTTACAATTCTGGCTGGAAAATCAGTTTTTGCATGATCCTTGATTTCTCAACAGATTGGAGTTTTCCATCACCGTGTATCACTTGATTTATTGGGGCTAAAATCTGCAGGTTCAATTTAAGGAAGGGACCCTGAAGCCTCCAGAGATCAAGTCAAGTGTTGATCTTCCAGAGAGCATTGATCTTTTTGGGCAGAAGATCAATTTGTCACCCGCACGGCAGGTAGTCAATCCTCTGCAAGATGCTGTGGCAGGTATAGCAAGATCTATTTCTGGCCAATCTCCTCTTAAGATTCCTATTCCAGGCGAGCGGGCAGCATCTTGGCTTCTTGTCACGTATCTTGACAAGGATCTTCGTATTTCGAGAGGGGATGGTGGCCTTTTTGTGCTTGCTAAAGAAGGAAGTCCTCTTCTAGATCAGTAGCCAGGTATCTCATTTTCATGTGGATTTTATAGATCTTGGGTTCACTTGTACTATATTTACTTGTATCTCCGTAATTATATACGAGGTGAATTGTTTTTTAACTGGTTACCTCATTTGATTTGTTCAAGGTATACATAGGGATGGTTTCTGGAATTAGGCCAAGGGGATACAACTCTGTGGGAAAATTTTTTTTGGGCTTTTTCGTATTGCACACTAAAAGATTTCAAGTTTTTTCCTTTGTACTCTTAAAAATTAAGGGCGTGTTTGGTTAGCGTCTGCAAAACAGTTTTTTGTTCTCAAAATTTTAAAAACACTAAAAATCTATTTGTTTAGCATTTTTGTTCTTTAAAATTTGGGAAAAAAAATGAGATTTGAATCAAAGAAACAGAAAATAAGTGTAGTTTGTTTTCAGAGTTATCTTTGAAAATTTTGGAATATATATACATATTTCTATACACACACACACACACACATATATATATGTTATGAAATTGTCAATATAAAAATAATTTTTTTATATTTTTTTTATTAATGCTTGAATTACTGCTCAAATATATATATAGACTGTCCAAACAAGTTTTACTATTTTCTATATTGTAAAATTGTTTTTGAAATCATCTAACCAAACAAGTTTAAAATTTTTCACATTGCATCTTGAATGTATCAAAAGTATTATAATGTTGTGTGTGGTCAGCTTTCGTGTATTGTCTGTCAATTGCTACAGACAAAAAAACTAACAAAAGAGTTATATTATAATACTTTAATATATGTAGGATGTGATGTAAAAATTTTAATTTCTGAGGGTAAAAAGTGAAAAAGTTAAAATCTTTTAGGATCACCGCTTAGAAACAAATCAGAAACTTCAAACGCCAAAATGACAAGGTCATACTTGAGGGACCACAAATATTAATCTCTACACAAGTGTAAGTTTCACTGTTTACACTTGAACTCTCATAATTATGAGGGTAAATGGTTGTTTGCACCTTGAAAGATTATAAAATTATCAATTTATATCTTCAAAAATTAGTTGTTTTAAATTGCACTCTCAAAAAAAATTAATCGATAGCAATGTGATCCCGACTATAACGTGAATTGCGACTTTCGTCAAATTGACAGGCACGTAAGACGGACGTGAAAACGAAAAATTTGTCATAATTCAACAAAAGTAATCACTTAGATTAGTTTTCATGTAGCTGTTAATTTGATGAAAATCACATTGACGTTATGGTGGGATTATATTGTTATCAATTAATTTCATTGAGGGTGTAATTTAAAATAATTAATTTTTAAGGATATAAATTGAAATATTTATAATCTCTTGGAATGCAAACTACTATTTTCCCTAATAATAACAATAAGAGTCATTTGTATATCTCCTTCTATTATTCTTTTTGAGCAATTCTACGGAGACGTAATTTGAGGATTTATTTATATTGTAATCATTAGATGTAGGTGGAGCCCATTTTTAGGCCAACTAATCATCCAACCACGTCAGCCTTCCAATAATTCAATCTTTTTGTCAACAAGATTTATCAAATTTTGGGATCAAATTTTGAGTCTAAATGACATGACAGTTGACTTAGACTTCTTTGATTAGTGTCATGTTATTTGGGCCCTAATAAAAATAGAAAAATTTGGAGGTCGGTCCTTCTATATGGACTTGTTTGGATTTAAGTCTGTCAAGGAAATTTATTTGTTATGAAATCCGTTTTTTGTCAATTTTACTATACTATCTCTTCCCTTTATAAGTAAAATAAAATTAAAAATTAAAAACTCTTAAATCTTAGGAGTTTGATTAACATTAAAATCTTGTATCTCATTAACATTAAATTTTTTTTTCTCTTTTATCTATATATATATATCTATATAATAAGATAGGTAGGTGTTTGAATTTTATCTCAGTCATATTTTTTCCTTCAAAACCATCACCAATCACTTATCTTACCTATCATTCATTTGTCAGACTCAAACATCAAATCACATCACTCATTTCTATCACATATTTATCATTTATATATTTCCTCCCTAAAAATATCACACCACTCATTTTTATCATATATTCATTCATTTAATATTTAATTAATTTATAGTTAATATATTTTGAAAAAATTTAATATAGTGGGATCGATTTTTTGGACGTTCGAATTTTATATTTTATCGTGCCTTCAGGCACGGGTTATGACTAGTATATATATATAGTAATATTAAAAATAAAAAATAGTAACATTCAAATACAAAAAAAAATTATCATTTGGATACAAAAAATAATACATTTAAACACAAAAAAATTGTAACATTTAAACATAAAAAAAAATTGAACCATTCAATATTAATATTTTTAAAAAATAACAACAATAACATGTTCAACAAAAATATTAACATGTTAAACAAAAAAAAGTAACATGTTTAACAAAAATTGTAGCAAACTTAACAATAATTATTTCTCTCAAATTCAAACTCAATAAATAGTACCATTCAAATACAAAAAATAGTAATATTCAAAAAAAAAAAATAGTAACATTGAATATTAATATTTAAAAAAATAATAGTAATAACATGGTCAACAAAAATAGTAATATATTCAAAAATAATAGTACATGAACAGTAACATACTCAACAAAAACAGTAATATAAACAATAACATAATAAAAAAATAAGAACATGAATTTGAATTTTACTATTCAAAATCATAGTAATTTTTTTTTTTGTATTTGAATGTTACTATTTTTTTTAATGTTACTGTATATATACCTAACCTATATATGAATATAGATAGATAATAGAAAGGAAAAATTTTAATGTTAGTCAAATTTTTAACCTATATATGGATATAGATAAATATGAGAGATAAAAGATTAATTTCCTTTCAAGGAAGGGTATTTTTGAGATAAAATAAATAGACTTAAGTCATTACATATAATTTTAAATATGGACTTAGTCCCTTATAAATTTTTTTGTAGGATTTATTTCCAAACAAGTACATCTAGAGGCCTCATTTCCAATTTTTACATAAAAATATCAACTAATTAATTACTATATCATTTAAGCTCTAAATTTAATTCCAAAGTTTGATGACGTGGTTAAAGTCTGTTTGCTAGCACATGCCAGTTGTAACGTTTACTACTAAGAGCCAAAAGTAGAGAACAATTTTTCTTAACCGGCTAGGGGAAATTTAAAAAACGGTTGACAAAGTCTCAACGGTGGACGACTAAAAGAGCAAGGCAGACGTCCTCGTTTCGCGAAACTCGCGCCTCTTTTGCCGTACCTTTTGGACTTGGTATTAAATTTTCTTCGGGAAAAAGAAAAGAAAAAGAAATAAAATTATTAGATTTCGAATTTTTTTGGGGGGACAAATAGCAGTTTGCATTGTGAAAGATTATAAAATTCTCAATTTATACCTTTAAAAAATAATTATTGTAAATTACACCTGTAATAAAATTAATTAATAGCAATGTGACCCTAACTATAATGTTTGTTGAAAATTTCTATTAAACTAATAGCCATATGATATGCACGTGATGATTTTTGTTAGATTATGACTCTTTCTCTTTCCACGTGCAGTTTACGTACTTGTTAATTTAATAGAAATCGCAACAATGTTATTGCTAGGGTCACATTGCTATCAATTAATTTAGAAAATTTGGAGGTCGGTCTCTTTTTATAAATTTATTTGGTAATAAGTCCAACAAAAAAACTTGTTTAATATTAAGTTCATTTTGATATTCATTATCCAAAATATTCTTAGGGATTTGTTTGTTTAGCAGGAGAATAATAGAAAATGCAAAAAAAAGATTTTTTTTTTAAATTTTCATGTGTTTGGTTAACATGAAAAGAAAAATGATGGAAAAGATAATTTTCCTTCATACTTGAATTTTCTAAAAGAAAATCAACTTTTTTTTCTTGTAAAAAACAAGAAAATGCAAGGAAATTGTGATGTATAACTAACTTTCTATTTTATCTTTTATTTTTATTAACATATTTTATTGGTTATTAATTTTAAAAAATTTTGGTATGAATTTGATTAATCATATAATTTGGTCTAAAAAACTTTGTATTGGTGATTATTTTAAAATTAAGTTTCGAGCTATTTTTTTAAAAAAATTTAACTTTCAATTATAATTTCATATTTTTTTTCTTTTTTAGACCGATTTAATATAATTAAGGGTAATTTAGACAATTAAAAAAATTTATTATAACTTTTCTTTCTTTCAAACAATAGAATGAAAATTTTTAAAATTTTTCAATAAATTTTTCATTTTAACCAATTACATTTATAAAAATATATTTCTATCATTTTTTTTTCTTTCACTTTACTTTCTATCATTTTCATTTTTCATCATTTTTTCCTCCTAACCAAATGAACCCGAGTAGTTATGTTTAATTAAAATAAATTTGAAAACTAACAACTCTTAAATTTTTTGAGTTTGACTAATACTAAAATTATCTCTCTCTCATATCTATCTATTTATAAAATATGACTATTTATTTCTCTATTCATATATATACTTAAACAACAAAAATAATAATATTTAAAAATAAAAAAATAATAACACTGAATATTAATATTTGAGAACATGAACAATAATATGGTAAAAAAATTTATATATATAATATAAAAGAGAGAGAATATCAATTGTTCTTTAAATTTGAATTTCAAATTTATTTAAAAAATTTATTGGCATATCTTCACTGATAATAAATTAAGAAATAATAATTCTAAAGTTAAGAAACTAATTTAAAGTTGCTTTCAAGTAAGGGTATTTTAGAGTTTTAGTGAATTTAAATACTTATTAGTAAAATTAAAAATGAACGTATTTCTAAATAAATTTCTTTGACGGACTAAACTCATTATAAGTCCCTTAAGAAAGATTCAGCCTCAATTTTCACATTAATTTAATTGAGGGGTGTAATTTGAAATAATTGTTCTTTGAAGGTGCAAATTGAAAATTTTGTAATCTTTCGGTGTGCATACTCCCATTCACTTTCTTTTCTTTTTTTTCTGTCATTATCATGTCACTGTTGTTTGCAAAGCTCTTAAATAAATGCTGAATGGGTCACTGTTGAATTGAATATTCAAAATTCAAAACACTAACAAAAGTCTCCCCCAACTACGCGGTAATCATTTACAGACAAAAGAGGCACCAATTTCGATTGATTTGTGGGCTTGTAGGTAGTGTGTTCAATCTGGATCCGAATAGTACGTGAATGTTTTGCTCGTGATTCGGACGATCCATCGAAATTGGTGGGTCAATGACGAAGTCCAAGAAAAACTAGAGAGATTGAAGAGTAATCTCTGTGAGAGAGAGAGGGAGAGGTGGACACGATCTGGAATGTTTGTTGGCTGAATTCAAGGAGTGTTTGGCAGAAAAGAAAAAAAAAAGGGAAAATTACCCATGTTCTTGGATCGGCCGTAGAAGAAACTTTCGGGAATTGAGTTTGAGAGAGAGAGAGAGAGTATTGGATCAGCTGCAGGAACCTTCTGAGCACAGAGAGAGAGATAGAGATGAACTTTACAAATTGATTTGATAGACTGATCTGAGAAAATCAATTGTATAGGACACAGTTGAACATAGATTCAGATACCCACACAGAGAACTGTGTCTGTGAGAGACCCAATTTGCATATTTGTTATTGGATTGATCTGAAAGAAGAGCAATGGTTCCTGAACATAATTCACCATAGATTCACTCTCTCACACTCATACGCACAACGAGAGAGAGGGAGAAGCAGAGTGTATTGTTCAGGTACTATTCTACTGCTAACATGAGCAGCAAAGAACCAGCGAAGCTCGACGATGAGCAAATCGCCGAGCTCCGAGAAATTTTCCGATCATTCGATCGAAACAACGACGGAAGCCTAACCCAACTCGAACTCGGCTCCTTACTACGCTCCCTCGGCCTAAAACCAAGCCCCGATCAGCTCGAAACACTGATACAAAAAGCAGACAAGAATAGCAACGGCCTAATCGAGTTCTCGGAGTTCGTGGCACTGGTGGCGCCGGAACTTCTCGAGGCGAAATCGCCCTACACGGAGGAGCAATTAAAGCAGTTGTTCAGGATGTTTGATAGAGATGGAAATGGGTTTATCACGGCGGCGGAGTTGGCTCACTCGATGGCGAAGTTGGGCCACGCTTTGACGGCGGAGGAGCTCACCGGAATGATCAAGGAGGCTGATACGGATGGAGATGGGAGGATTAGTTTTCAGGAGTTCTCTCAGGCGATCACTTCGGCTGCTTTTGACAATTCATGGGCTTGAATTTAGGGAATGAGTTTGTCAGGTATGTCTTGCTCTGAATTTTGTTTCTGTTTCCAATTTGTTGCATTTTCTATTGGCACTGTCTGTATATGAGATTTTGGTAAACCAATCTTGTGGATCTATTGAAAAATTGCTAGAAGTAGATCTGAACATAGTTGGGTGTCTATACAATTCCCTTTTCTATGTTCCATTCAGTGCTAGAACACTTGTTTGGGACCCACTTCTGGATAATGGGTCGTTGTTAAATTTAGTAAAAGTGTACTGGAGATATCCTAATTCTTGACATAGGGATGGGTTGTTTATACTGATTTCTAGTTTTTCGGATTGGAATCCTCTACTATTGCTTTTCTATGTTCCATTTAGTGGTAGATCACTTGGTGGGGACCCACTTGTGGATAATGGGTCGTCATTTTTTTTTGGTCAGGAGATAATGGGTCGTCATTGAATTCAGTAAAAGTGTATTAGATGTGATCATAGTTCTTGCCTTTTAGTGTAAAGCGACAATGCTTGACGTGAGTAGGATCATTATTGATCTTTGAGTGATTGACATTTAGGATTTAACCATTCAATCCAAGGTGGGTAGGGTCTTCAATGAACTCCAATATCCGAGAGGCATGACCTACTAAATTCATAGATGGTATCTTCTTGCATTTTGAAGAATCAAAATCCCAGCTGTCAAACAATCTATGGAGGCCCTGCACTTAAAAGAAGAATGATGAACTGCTTAGCTTGTCTAGTTTTAGTCTACAATGCATTATTTGAAGGGGTAAAAATGCAGACAGATTTATGATCAGTTGTGTTATGCAAAGAAATTATGTCACAACTTGTGTTGATGAACATGGATGTGTGTGATTTAGAGGTCCTAACTAAATGGCACAAACACTACTGACCATGACCATCTTGTTCTGAACCCTCCTTTTTGAAGGGTAGGATATTGGTTATTTCTACTAGATAGCACATCAATGAGCCGACCACATGCTAAGACAAGGTCAAGGGAGAGGAAAAAACTGGGTATAAATTTGTTTACGAGGACACAAATGGTCAAAATAAGAACCAAAAATGATGGTTACTTGTTATCCTTCATCACTTTGTAAACGCACAGCTTTCATTAATGTTTTTGGCGCTTTGGACTTGTCATTCTTACATACCAAGTTGGGTAGATGGCTGCATAAACATTGTGCAACACAGCAATCTCTTGCGTTGAAATTTGATATAGGAGAGTACAAAATTTTTTGGACTTGGGATGATAGTAATTACTCATCTGCCCAAACGTTAATGTCTTTGGTCAGAATTATATGAAGGAGCTAGCTTTTGGGCAATGAGTACGACGATGGTGTAAAATTTTTTCCACTGTGTTTAGGGGGGGTATCACTTGTGATTCCCAGGCCATTCGTGAGTTATTCGATGTTTTAAGGTATAAAGCAAGACTTGATTGTCCTGAATCACCAACTCTGTGTATTCGTTTGTTGCAGGTCAGGCATTGCTGATGAAATAGTTTGCCAGCCGATGGTTAGATCCATATGTGCTGCACAGTGCAGAACTTTACTTTGACAATGCAGAGCTGATTCAACTTGCCCATCAACCATTTCTCCCATCTGTAAGGATGCAACAACTGAGTCATTAGCCCCTAATCCCTTCTCCTTGGCTTGAAATTGAGGCTTTCTTTTCATAATATATATACCAAGTTTTTCGAATTGATCTATGTACCTATGTTTAAACAGGGTAATTGGATATCTTGGTGAAGAACATCCTTTTGTTTGACATTTCCCTTCTGCTCTAATAAAAGCACTACTTTTGCTAACTTTTGGTCTCCCCCCCCCCCCCTTCTATCTCTCTCTCTTCTATTTCCATGGCTGACAGAGTATATAAAGTTTTTTGCCAGTCTCTGTGGTTAAATATGGTTATTGGTCCAGCCAACAAAACTATGTTAAAATATGAAAAATCTCAGGCAGCTTTACTTCTTTGGGTTTGGTAACAATACTGTTTACCCATTATTTCTCAAAATTATCTGAAGGATCTATATTCAATGGAATTGGATCATTCTGTGTGCTTTAAATCTCAACAACACAGCAAATCGTGTCCCAACTTGATTTGCTATATGCATCCTGTTATCATTTTTTTTCAACAATCATCAATCATTACTGTTAATCTTGATCTAATTCTACCTACCATTCACTGTATTAGTTCACTATTCTAAAAATATGTTCAAACTAACTCCATTTTCTCTTTATTTGTCCTTCTTTCACGGTCTTTTTACCATTTTACGAATATACTCACTCCAAATCATTTTATTTCTTCTTTCATCACGTACTCATTTTAAAATTTGCATATAAATCAAATGGTTTTTTTTTTTTTATGAACACATAGGGTGGTACGTTCAAATTTTGAATATACTTTATCGAATATCTATACTTTACTTACAGTTACAAAGTTTTGTAGAAGGAATGATTAAAATCCCCTAAAATATACTTTCACTTCAATTTTTTTTTGGACGGATTACTTATTATGTGCTTAAGTAGGACTCATTATATATAAATGAATCTCTTACTCATTAATAATGGATAATCCACTAAGAAAAAAATTAAAAAAAAAATGTATTAAAAGAGATTTAAGTTCAAATAAGAGAATATTTATAATTTTTTATTGCAATATCTGCGGGACCATGTGGATCAACCTCCAAAGACAAATTTCAATTCACAACTTCCCGAGATGCATACAAATCATATCCCATTACTTAAAAATCAATTTTAAAAAAAAATAAAAATTGGGAAGATCTGTTGTATGTTTATTTAGATAATTCTCGATTCAATTTTTAATTATTAACCAATTATATCGAGTTTCAAATCATATTCAGTACACTTTCTATTAATTTATCTCAACTGTACATCACTCGCCGTCATTCGGGTGAGAAACCCATTTACACATATTAGATCCGACTAACCAGGGTTGTCAATTCGATAGCAAGCCTTCCTTGAAAAACTATTGAATCCTATGGTTTAACCTTAAATTAAACTTGAGCCATATACATTGTGTTCAAGTTTTGTCCGAAAGCCTAGTCATTTAACATGTTGACCATTTCAACTTCCATATCCACTTCCACCAAGGTACCCAAAAAAAAAATTGGTATTATACCTTCAATTTTTACTATTTTAATGAATATTTTTATGACTTATATATCATTTTACAACCAAAAAAAAAAAAATATTTACAACCGATGAGTGATTTATCACTTTTGTGAATATTTTTACCACTTTTGTGATACTTGCAAATGATCGCAAGTAGCAAGTATCATAAAAGTAATCAAATCCACAAAAGTGATAAATGCATAACCATAACCAAAAAAAATTTCGGTATCATTGACTTGTCCCCACTTCATTCTCGGAATCTAAATTTCATATGTAGCCCATCATCTTATGCAAAAAAAGAAAATTGAATTGAAAGAAAAGATAAGGAAAACAAAGAAAACTTTCCTCCTGTGTATTTTTTTTTATTTTTTAGAGGTGAACTTGAACCCTTGACCTCAAAAAGACAAAATTTTTACAAAATAAAGAATATTATTGGATTAAAGGCCCGTTGGTAAAAGAAAGTTTTCCTGTGTATTCGGTTTAAAAGAAAGTTAACGGATAGTAATCCTCAAACTTCCTTGAGCTGCAAAATGCTGTGCAGAATGTAGAACAAGATATAAATTTTCCTGCAAGAAAATCATTATGGCGCATAACAAATAACCAAGCGGAAGGAAAACAATTTTCCCTTTCCTCCTTTTATTTCCCGTCAATCAATCCCAGAGTTAGTGATCAAGAAAAGTTCTTCAAAAAAGAGATTAAATTTCTACGAGACACCTTACCCAACCATTCAACAAGAGTTGGTGAAGTCACTGGTAAGAGCTCCTTCATCGGTCAAGCTTGAATTAAGCAACTTGTGAGTTATCAAGCATGGCTAGCCAAGATGTAGAGCCAATTTGAATTGCATGTGCTGGTGGTCAAGCCATGTGCTTCATCGAGTGTCAATGCAATATCTCGTAAAATGTTCCTATATCTCATTAAAGGAATTCATTACCAAAATAAAGTATGAGAAGTTGCTACATTGAAAAGTCACAAAGCCCAATGACATACCAATCCTCATCTGATAGTCATATTGCGTAAATGAACACCTTTGTGATAGCTGATACAAATGACTACTAGCAAAAATGCATGGTAACTTTTATTTAAACCAACTAGAACTGTCTAAATAAGTTAAAAGGCTTAAAAGGGCCACAATTGTACTAGAGACAATGAAAAGCATCTTATAAGCTGTTGAAATTTGAAAACTAAAAGATATTCAGATCAAACATTCTGTGAAGCACAGATGAGAAATTCCAAAACACCTCAGACTGATGAAAACCACGGAAAGTACTTGCATCACACCTTCTTCTTCTTCTTGGATTTGAGCATCACATATCCAATAAACATACACAAGAAGCAGAGAAGCACCACACCGGCAAAAACAGGAATGAGGATGGCAAATTCTTGAGGTAGAAAGTATTTATGCACAAAATGATCACTGTCAACAAATGGCTGAAATGGCATTGAAGTAATAGTTAACCAACACATTAGACCAAGTTCGAAAAGGGTATAATCCAAATTGGGTGGAAGACAACTGACCAGGATGATGACCCAGAAGGTATAATAAGTGAAAATGGACAAGCTTATGAATGATAAAAGAAAACCAACAGCTCTGTCTGCCAATTCCATTGTATTGTTGCTTCTGCTGACAGTAAACCAGATTCATGAATTAGCAATTGCAGCAACAGTTACTGATAATTAATGAGGGAAAAAGTTGCACAAACTTAAATCTAACAAAACACAGCCTATCCCACAATCTCACCCCAAACTCAAAAAAAAAAAAAAAAAACAAATACACATTAAAGTAAAGTAAGACACAAAAACACACAAAAAACAATGTAGAAGCAACAGAAAAGGTATCTTATAACCTATTGAGGCATCCTTGCGCTGCTTAAATAGCAGGTCAACAGGAGTACCACCAAGGAAAGAATCAACAAATGAAATTTAATCTAAGCTTTTCTAAATCCAGTCCAAGAAATTAGCACCAGAAATCAAATAGTATGTGTGTACAATGGCTTTGGGTTTTTCCATTTTCCGATGATTCTTGCCTTAGGATTTTAGCAATGCAATGGTGAGTATTAAGTGTATAACACCACTCATGGCTAGGACTTTGCTCATAAGAACTCTTAAGAGTAGGACTTGGTCCAGTGCACTTCAGATGATTAGTCTCCATAATGTTAGTCCCACATTATCTTCAGCAATAAATATTTACAAGCCTTGCTAAAATGAAATGGAGAATGTTCATGGTAAGGCCTTGGTGCCAATTATAGCACATTTGACCATGCAATCAAAGCCTTGACTTTTAACAAGCAAAAGACTTCTACATTCTGACCAAAGGTTGGACATCTGTCAATCAATTCGCTCTACACAGCATAAATAAAAATACCAAACAGGACACCACCTTCAAGTTTTTTGTTTATAGGTTAGACCTTATAATAGATGTTTGGATCTCTTGATAAAGTTCAAACACCACATAATTGGAAAATAGAAAAATAAAAGCATCGAAAAAAGAAAAATAGAAAAATGAATGCATCCACAGTTCATTGAAATATCTAATTAAAGTACAGATTACACAATGCTATCTTCTATGGAAATCAATTGAATCACGGAAATTTTTACTATTGCAAGCATTTTACAGGTAATTGCACCAAACATGCCTTTTTGCTTCAATACTCAAACAAAAATACCATCTAAGGTTTCAGATCTCCACTGAATATATCAGCTAATGTTTACTTCGCGAATTGGTTCTTTGTCGAAGCAACTTTGACTCACAATTTATCACAACATCACAGTTCTTCTTCTTCAAACCTATCCCCCCAAAAAAAGTTTGATTTGCCATTGGCTTCCCATTCTAGTACCTCTTAACCCCATCAATTTTCTTCTTTCCTTTTTCTCATTTTGCTTGGCTTAATTCCCCTTTGGCAGTCAAATAGCACTGTTTTTTGCAAAATTCCGAATATAAAACTTACCCATAACAGAGGCCCTAAAAACTTGTATTTTCGATAAGGATGATGATAAGGTAAATGACTAATAAACTAATACATTCCGGTAAGGTAAATTATTTTGGATTTTGGAAGAACTGCAAATGCCTTAAGAAATAATGCTCAACAGCATCGTACATCAACTCTTCAAGTGCTGAAGTTTGACAGTAAAACCATATAGTTTCAAATGCATCAACAACACAATGGTTCAAACGGGTCCTATCTTTACCAATTTTCCCGATTAATTTAAAGTGAAATTTGAAAAACCCTAAAGTACAAACATGCCATACAAATTGGGTTATTAAGATTTAGCATGAAAATCTGTTTTGAACGACAAGTTTCACCGTTTTATGAAATATCATTTATAAGCATATATGCATGAAAATACACTGAATTTAGATTTTCTTCTCCACAAAGACAAAGTAATAGTCGCCCAATTAAGGGAGAGAAAAAAAATAATCGAAGATATAAGTAGCCATTTGAGATTTACCTGAACCTCGTTTATATCAGGCTGAGGGTTTGTTTCAGAGCATCATCGTCATCATTTTCCGCTTTCTCTTTCCTCTTCTGAATAATTCCCTCCCCTCTCTCTTTCTCCTCTTCTAATTTTCGCATGGGTTGGTTTGGTCTAAGATCCCAGCTATTGTTGGTTAGGATGGGTAGGGGTTGCCCAAATATATATATATATTTAGGCCGGATCGACCCAATGTCCAAAACCACCCCCCTCTCTTTTGATTAGGAGTCTAAACCCTTTTCTAATTTTAGGCATATAATTTTTAACTTTAATCTTAACCCTAATTTTAACCCAACCTCAACTTGAGGTACTTAACCCTAATACTGCCGTAGTTTAATTCAGGTGCGGTTCAGATTGACTTCGAATTATTTAATTCAAACTAATTTCGAGTTGAAAATCGAGTTGAACTCGAGTTACTTAATTCGGATTGATAAAAGAGGAGAAATGATGAGTGAGAGTAGGCAGAGAGTCTAAGACGAGACTCAAACGAGGGAGAGAGGGAAGCCAAGAGTCTGAGATCAAATGAGAGACGAGTGATGAGTGAGAAAGGGATATGAGAGTGATAGAGACGCAAGAGTAAAGACTTGAAGTGAAGTGAAAGTCTAAATTTTGAAGAGTGAAGATAAATATTAACCTTAATTAAATATATTTATATATTTATGTATATTCGAGTTTAACCCGATTTAATATTCGAGTTGAACCCGATAACCTGAGGCCTCAACCCAAGACTTGCCTGAATTCAATTCGGGTTAGAGTTTTTTTGCCTCGCCCAACCTAAATATTAAAAATTCTAACCCAAACTCTATTTTTTTGGGGTTGAACTCGGGTTGGCCGGCCCAAGTTGCACCCCTACTTTAGATTAGAGTAAACTACATTTTGTACCTTAAAAGTTTAAAAAAAAAATTTATACCTTTAAAAATTAAATTTATCATATTATATCATCAATGTATTAAAAGTATTATAGTATGACCCTTATGTTAATAGGGTGGTTTTTGAAAGAATATGTAATGAAAACTAAGAGAAGTATCACATTGAGATACTTTTAATATACTGAGAATACAACGTTAAAAATATAATCTTTGAAAAAAATATAACATTTTTTTAGGGGTACAGTGTGAGATTCCCCCTTTAAATTATGCTAGTTTACTGATTACGAAATCATCAGTTAATTGTCTCTGGATCAAAGATTATTTCACTTAAACATTTGAAATTTGTAACGAAAGTGAGGGAAAAAGGGCACCCAGAAATACAAGCAAACCAGAAACACAATAGGTACATGTTCCTCCAACCCCTTGATGGATTTTGTTGGCAAGGCACAAACACATGGAGGTTGCATCACATGGTAGACTCTCTGTTACTCAGAATTAAACTTAATCTTCCATAATGGGGCTTCTCCACTGTTAGATTGTAATTAGTTCAGAACAAGAAATCCAACTGTAACCTTAAAAAGCTCCTAATCATCGTAATACATCACAGAAACCACAAAGTCATCCATGATCGAAAACAAGACAAGTTTCTGACAGAAAACGATCGCAAGAATGTACAAAAATCCAGAAAATAAAGTCGTGCAAAAAAGTTTTTATCTTCACCTGGACAAGACCAAAGAGGAATGAGTTTCAAGTAGTAAATTTCCCATCATCCACTGCATTTTGGTTCCTTCACTCCACGACATTAAGAAAAAGCAATGAAGAAAAGTAGGTTCAGTACTCCACTAGTGTGGCAGTATCCACTGCATTATATCCTTCCGAATCACTCCCTCAAAACCAAATCTTCCATGGTTTACTTTGAAACCTTCAGGGCTACCAATGCACAATTGTCTGTACTGCATGTTAGTTCCAGCAGGCTTTGCAGGCTGGATCATCATTGCAATGGTGGGAAAGGGTTTCGACCATATGTTCTTTGAGGAGGTAAACAGATGCTTATCAGACTCTCGGTCCCTGTCTCTTGCACTGAAACTTCGGGATCCCCCAGGAGTTTTCTGGTGAGATGAGTTGGTTAGCTGCTTTGTCGTGCTTGTGTTTGCATTCCCATCGGATGGGGGCTTGCCTCCTCGGATTTGTGCTGATGGTTTCACTCTGTCAAGCCAGTGAAGGATCCAGTTGCCAAGGTTACGACCAACTTCAAGGTCTCTTTCTTGTATAGTTTGATGAACCTTGAGTGCAACATCAAATACAGCTCGTGTCCGGCTGTGACACGAGCAATATTTAAATTTTAAACAAACATTATGCCTCAATCAGCAAAGATATTTAAAAAGATATATGTAACAACAGCAGTCACACAACAGGATGAAGAAATATAATGCATTTGGTTGCAGTGACAAGCAATTAACAAAGTATATGTAGAATAATATTGGAGTTGTCAGGACCATAATTAAAAATTAAAAGAAAGCACAAAAAGAACCACGATAATAACGATAAATTAGCACTCCATCTACTACAGGTTTTCAAGATTAATTTTGATCCAAAAAAAAGATTCCTCCTTCTACAACAAAAAGATTGGAAATTGGTTGGTTTTAAGGAAACTATCTAAAAGAGGAACTATGTTATGTTTCCCAAGGGCTTCTGTCTTATGTCTATTTTCTTTTTCAAGGAAATTGTTCCCAGCTTATTTCTAATGAACTAAGCATAAGCCATGCTGTCAAGATTAGGACTGGCAGCTGATGCTAGTCTTTGCATCGAGGAAATTAAAACAGATTTGGTAAAACTAAGAAACCAACAATAGTCAGGCTTGCAGATATGCAAGAGCATTAACACTTACTAGATGTTTTCCCTTGAAAAAACAATTGTTGAATGTCAATAAATTTGTTTCCTTATTAACTATATTGCAACAATCCTTCTCCAACCTCTGTGAGAGCTATCTCCGGACCCTGGGAAGAGTCCCGGACCATGGAAGCAATCAAAGGAAGCGTGATAATACACATGCTTCATACTATGCATGCTTCATTCATCTAATATCATGAAGATATACTTGACAAAACAACACAAAAACAAACAAAACCTTTCCTGATCTTCTAGACTGACCATTTGCAATATGGATCATGAGGTCCAAACAGTGGAAACTTTTGTTTTAGTAAATGAAGTTTATGGAGCTAGAAAGAAACTTAAGTAAATTGTACAAACACTCTATGTATGTCATATACAACGGAGTAAGGAACCTATGTATTCAAGGGGAACCTTCAATTATCTTTGGAAAATATGTACCCTATATCACTATCATTGTAGCTTTTGCAAAGAATTAATCAAGTATCTATTACGCATTTTGTTACTGAAGAATAGCTGTTTCAAGTTTCCAACTCTAAACCAAAATTCAAAGCCTCTCATGCTATCTAAGTTACTAGTGTAATGCTTAATAGAAGTAGAAGGTTCCTCATCGTTCTAAATTCAGATCAAAAGTTCCAAGAGCAAACAAAAATAACTGAACCAAGTCCTTACTCTTACCTCCAATATGCCATGTTCTTAAAGTTCTTTCACATATTTGTCCCTGTTTTCTCACTGTTGCTAGCAATTAGCCAGAAACATGAGTCAGCCACAAGCCAGATTCTATAAATGCTTAACACTGCTGTTCATTGGGTCCAAACCAACTAGACCTCCATAAAAATGGCGAACCACGTGGTAAAATGTCACAGAAGTTTCACATCAAATATCTGAATGTTCTTGATATCCAATCACTGGGATGTCTTAGAGCAGCAGTTTGCTACCACTATTGTTTCTGGGAGGGGCACACAAAAGACGGAAATAACCTTTTGGAATATTTCAACACCAAGGTTGCTCTCAAACTGTAACCCCCATTCTCACGCTTGATAGCCTATGCATTTCATTGCACTAAACGCCTTTCAATCTTGCTATAGAAGAGGCTGCATGCAAACGAATCTTGCAGTAATTCAAGGATGTCTGCCATGAGTTGCAGTTCAAATAAGACAGTAAGTTGAATCTTTTACTGGCTGAGACCAGTTGGCATTGTTCAGCATTTGCAGCTTCAAAATCTAAGTCTCCAAATTCAAAAGGACAACCTTATCAATTAGCTTGCCATTGTCGTCCACAAAGATTAAAATTTTGTTTCGATGCATTATTTTGGACACCGAGAAAATAGAAACTATTCAAAAACATAATAAAAATAGATAAAAAATTTGAGAATTTATTTCCACAACTTCTATAAATATTGGTTGAAATATACCGAAACATCTCGAAACACCTCAAAATGTTAATAGAAACAAGCCGAAACATCTCAAATCACCTAAAAATATTTTGAAACATCACGAAAGCATTGAAATTTTGATTTAATAATTGATTCATGTTGATTTCCTTGGAAACAAAAACGTTTCAGATATTTCGATACGAAATTTTGATCATTGGTCGTCCTTACAAACACCAGGAGAGAGCCATATATTAATATATGGATTCTAGGGCTATACGGCAACTAGTTTCGTTGTTCTGAAAACCATGTCACTCTAGAATTGTTTTAATAACACAGTCCAAAGATGCCCCAGATATTTCTAGTGCATAAAATATTTTCTCATAGATGAGATGAACTTTAAAAGTCGTCCACTAAAATTAACTACATTTAACACCTGAAATAGCCAGAGAGAGGACATGAACACATTCTATAGATTGTTTCTCCAACTTTCGTGGCCATCATCAGCTCTATACTGTACCACTTTTTCACCTCAGCAATTCTTTCCCTTTTCGGCAAATAGGCCACGCAATCTTGTCGGATTTTAGTATATTCGTGTCAAACAATACTTCATCAATACCCAATTCGAATCATGATCGAGTTCATGTCATATATCAATTTTTATAACCATCTTTTAATTGACTTTATCTATACCCAATTCGTCTATTAATCATATTATGTCGTACTCGCTTATTTACAAAATGAGTGACATAGGGATGATCTAAATTATTTAATTTCATGTCGTGTTAACGAGCCGCGTTAAATTTAACACCCCTCCCAAATGTTCGATTACTCATGCATTCATTCATTCATTCGCTAATACAATTTACATTATAATAAACATAAAAAAGCATGCATAAACTGAAATGGCAAGGACCATTCTAATCAAAACCCATACAGCATAGTGCCCACTGGAAATTTCCTATCGTCGCCGAGAAACAATCTAAATCATTTCGAATCAACGAAACTCAAACAACTAATATCCCAATTCCCAAATCAAGACCAATTGATCGGAAACACGAAACAGTAATCGATAGGTGGTAGAGACAAGGACAGCCATGAATAGAGTATTATACCTCCAAGCAAATTGATGAGTTTTAGGGCACTTAGAACTTATAAGTTTCCGTTGAATCTTCAGAGCAAGTCTGTAAGTTCGTTTCAAACCCAAAAAATACGCAGTTCCTAATGTGATCTCCCATAGCACCATTTTTTTCTAAATCTCTCTCTACCAGTATATATGTATATATATATATATATATATATATATATATATATATATATTTATATATATATATACCCTTTGATTCTGTTTTAATTTCCATTCCTTGTAAGTCACCGATCTTCCTCAAAACCTCCATACATTTCGATCCTTCGCGTGACGAGTTCTCTTAGTTCACTTTGTTCGTTTTAGGACCTACCGTCACCGGCTTGTGAGATTATCACAGACGTCATCAGGACCGTTGGTTACAGATACTATCAACAACGAATGAACCTTCGCGATGGCTCTGTGACGGTGCGAATTGGGCGGGGTTATGGATAGGCCCATTATAACCCAAACTCTACTGTGAGTAGGAGCGATAATTGAGACAAGTTTGACGGGCATCACCATGCTCAGACTCGGCTTGGGCTCAAACATTAAACTTATTTTTTAGTTCGAGCTCGACTTAACTAAAAAATGAAAAGTTTAAACTTAGTTTGATTAGGCTCGTTTTTTGTTAACAAGCTCGAATCTGAGCTCTAACTCGTATATAACTTTATCTAAAATTTGAATTTAAACTTGCGAACAAGCTTGAATTTTAATAAATTCAACACTACTTAACACAATATAAACTAATCAAAAACAATCAAATTAACACAACAAAAACAATAGAAACAAATTAACACAACATAACATAAAAAATTAATCAACTTCTCCACAGACATCACCTAACACACAACATGCACTAATACACATCACCGACCAGAAAAATTGTCCATAAACAACCAAATTAAACAACCAACCACATGATGAAATTGATCACAAAAATTCAAAAGAGAAGTTGTCAAGTGCTAAATGCCAACAAAAAAATTAAAAAAGAAGTTGTCAAGTGCTAAATGCCAACAAAAAAAAAAAAGAAGTTGTCAAGTGCCAACAAAAAAACAACATGTTTCACAACAAAACAACCAAGTGCCCTCATAGTAGAGCCTGCAATAAAACAACCATAACCAAGACTTAGTATTTTGTCAGCATACAAATTAAAGTCAAGACAAGAATTATTTTGTTATTGATACCCTTAAAAAAATGATTCAAAAGTTGTTTTTTTCAAGGCTACATCCATTCATAAACTCATTCTCTTCAACAACCTGTAAATAAAACACCAACAATGAAATTCAATGTGATTGAAATAAAATGAGACACAAGGTAAAAAAATCCTTACAATATTCGACCCATGAATTCCAAAATTATTGCACAACCAATCTCCGATACATATCAAAGCTTCAACTGTCACGGGCTTCAAGGAGCTTCGATATTGATCAAGAACTCTCCCTCTGGCACTAAAAGCAGACTCCGAAGCAATTGAAGTAATGAGAATAGATAGTATGTCCCGTGCCATCTTTGACAGGTTTCTAAACTTAAGAGTGTTTGCTTTCCACCAATTCAAGGCATCAAAATCTTTAGTGTCGTTTTCATCACAAATGTAAATGTCTTCTTCCAAATAAATTTCCAGCTCAGACTTGTATGGTTGAATAATGTCCAACTATTTGACCCATAGATTAAATTCATTCACACGCTTTGTCTTTCCTTTGACGTTGCTAGTGCTACCAACATTTCTACTTTCAAATGAAGTCTTTGGTTGTTTTACATCTTTAGACACATAATCCTTGTAAAGATCATTCAAGGAATTACGAACAACATCTATATAATGCACTACTTTATCCGATGAATAAATTTTGGGAAAATAAAACTCTACAAGTCTCATTTTATATCTAGGATCTATGACCGCTGCAATTGCCATCAACAAGTTACAATCTTCCCAATACTTGTCAAACTTTTCACTCATTCTAGTAGTCATGCGTCTCATGTAGTGTTGGATTTTTGTGGAGTTTAGTTTATGTTGATCCGAATGATGAATTGATCTGAAATAATGTTGTGTGATTTTTAATGAAAAATTTTTTGAGGCTTAGTCCATGAAAATTTTTTGGGGCCTGTTTGTTCTATAGCCTGGTGCAAGACATATAAAATCTGTTACTTTTGGGCGATTAGGGTTGATTTGGCTCTGTACGGCCGCTCTGTATTCCTTCTTGATAATAGTGAAATTCTTGCAGTTTTGTGGATATATGCAAATTGTTGAACCACGTAAATATTGTCTTTTGTGTGTGATTGTTTTTCTTTGGCGTGTGTTTCTTTATTTTTGGTTCTCACAGGTTTGGAAAATTCGTGAAAAATTTCCTAACATGTAGTCCCTACTATCAAATTCATGCTCATTCAAAGTCTTTCTAATTTTTCAAACTTCACAAAGAAATAAATTTGAAGTTGGGTAAGAGAAACCCGATAATAGATATGTGGCATCATTAAATATTTCTAAAAACTTGCATACCTCTTCAGCTCTTGACCAATCTTCCTCAGTTGGCAACCATCGACAGTTGTTATCTCTTTCTTTGTACCTTGGAAACACTTCTTTAATCACAAATACAGATTCTAACATTTCATATGTTGAGTTCCACCGAGTAGGCACATCAAGAATCAATTTTCTAGTTGTTGGCAATTGCAATTGTTTTACAATATCATTGAATTTTTCAAGTCTCAAAGGAGACATCTTAAAGTATTTCACACTCTCACGTATGTTTTCAATTATATCTCTTATCTCACCCAAGCCATCTTGTACCATTAGATTCAAAACATGTGCATAACACCGAACATGAAATATTCTACCATTAAAATAAAGCTTACCTTTAATAGAAAAATTATCTTCAAATTTCTCATCGATGCATCATTTGAGGATGCATTGTCTAGAGTAATGGTAGATACCTTATCCTCAATCCCTCAATTAGTTAGACACTTGTAAATATTATCAGCAGTCACAAAACCTGTGTGTGGAGGTGCCAAGCAACAAAAATTCAAGATACGTTTTTGTAAGTTCCACTTTGCATCCAAAAAGTGTGCAATAAGACGCATGTACCCGATTGTTTAATTGGAGGTCCATAAGTATGTTGTCAAGCTAACTCGGTCAACAGTACAAAACATTCTTTTCAATTTCATTTTCTCACTCACACATATTTTCAAGCAATCATTTTTTATAGTGAGGCGTTTAAATGACTCAAAACGTGAGTTAAGAGATTTAAGAAGCATCACAAACAATTCATGTTCAATCATCCTAAAAGGATACTCATGCACTATAATCATTTTTGCTAAAATTTCTCTTACCTTTTCTTCGTTAAACTTATAAACTGTCAACCCACCACTTATAGACCCATCGGAACCAGCTGACGAGAGAGCCAATAATTGTTGAGTGGGTCCTTTTTTTTGGCCAGAAATAGAAGCTTGACGAATTGGACAAGTCAATAAGTGCCTTTTCAGATGAGTTGTGGGAGCCCCTCGACCCAAAGAAAGACTTGTTTTACAATGGTTACACTTGACCTTTATTGTTCAATTTTCATATATTGTCTCCAAATCATCTCAAACTTTTGAGATCTTCTTCTTGGATTTTTTTTGGAGTGGTTCATTTTCAGAAGATCATTTGATTGTATCAACATTTTTAACGTTGGCTCCTTGATTTCCACCAACATTTACAATACTAGGGGGCACAGAATCAAGAGTCATCTAACCAAAACAAAGATGAAATTAGAGATGAAATAGCATATGAAACTCCCAACAAAAACACAGTTCAACAATAAGGCTACATGTATATTTTTATTTGTGAAGAATGTATTTGTATATTTCTTTAAAGCCAGAAATAATATTATTACCAAATCCCCCAACTAACAAAGTCAACACACACCAATTATATTCCAAATCTGACATAGAAGAAGCTAATGCTAGACCAATCCATCAACTAACAAGGCTTGCATATAAGAAAACCACAAAAAGAAAACAGATTCATGAAATATAAAAAATAGATTCTATATGCCAATCTGAAGGAGCTAATGTTAATGATGTTATGGTTTTCTAAGAAAAACAGCTTCTTTTTGTGGTTTTCTTATATAGAAAAACAAATTCTATATTCATAAATATATACACAACAGACGACGAAGGTGAAGTATACCTTTTTTGCTTCAGTCTTCAGACGATGAGAGGCAAACGAGGGCATCGGGCTTCACATGATGAGGGCTTCAGTCTTTAGACGATGAGAGAGACAAATGAGGGTTGCAGTCTTCAGACGATGAGAGAGGCAAACGAGGGCTTCGGGCTTCACCACACGATGAGGGCTTCAATCTTTAAACGATGAGAGAGGCATCTTCAGATTGGGGGGTAGACGATGAGAGAAGCGCCTTCAGATTGGGCTTCACATCATCACTTCAGTCTTCAGACGATGAGAGAGGCACCTTCAGATTGGTAGACGACGCCTTCAGATTGGGGGTTTGGGTGTATTAGGGTATGACAAGTTAATATACATGTGTGTCATCATTGTTGGATCTCAATAGATGTTTGAAATCAATAACTATAAATGGACCAGTAAAACTAGGAAAAAAATATCAAGCTTAATCAAGCCATTCGAGCTCATCTCGTTTATAGACAAGTCTAAAATTATGTTCATATTTGGCTTGTTTACAATATTCGAATGAGCTCGAATGAGCCTAAAACAAGTCGAACTCGAGTAGTTCAGTTCGATTAACAGCCTTAACTTTGGGTGGTTGTGATTTATCTTCAAAGCCCAAATTAAAGTGGCTAAGATGATGTTTTTGGATTGATACGTGGACCCACTTATACATGCAAACCGTAAGTTTTCATGTTCCTTGTTTTTTATTCAACAGTTAGAGATGTCTGAACCAGCTTATGCACACATTGATTAATCTTCTCCCCGGCTTGGTCAAAGATAGGTCATTCACACTGGAACTAGAGTATTCACAAGATATAAATCATTTATAACCTGACTTCAAAGGATTGTCAAAATTCAAACTCCAAACGTCTAAATTTATAACTTGTTTTGTTCCTCTTTCTTCAAAAGATTCAAATTTATTCTTAGATCCCGTTTTCTTCATTTATTTTTTCTTAATTTTCAACTCGTATAGATTTTTTCAGTAATCAATAAGAAATAAGAGGCACATTAACACATTTTAAGTTTTAGTCGTATAGACAACATAAATTCCAAATTTAACTGGTTGCGTGTATTTTATAAATTATTAGGGGTAACTCATGCAGCCGTGCACGGTGTAATATGAATAGTTTTAAAAAAAATATTGGTGAACGTTTGATGAATTTATTTGAGATCGTCGAATGAATTTATTGAAACTTATCCTGTTTCATATTATATTATTATAGATTATATATATTCAAGATTTGTATTATACTTATGGAGTCTTAAATTGTATGTATAAGACATTTTTCTAGAAAAACTTTGTTCAGGCCAAATCTAAAATGATCTTAGTTCCTCTTTCTTCAAGTGTAATATTAAATGGACCGAAAAATACTATCACATTGAAAGATTAAACAATGTGACAATAATAGTAGCATTGAGTAAGAAAAGTTTTATACCAAAATTTAAAGTAAGCTTTAAAATATATAAATTTAAAATAATATTTAAATTTTTATTTAGCCAGAATTTTAAAAAAATAAAATTTTGATCCAAAAATTAAGAAAAAAAAAATGTTACCCAATCAACACCACTACATTAATTGGCATCATTTGATCCAATCAAAAGCACACATAGCTTGCAACGGAAGCATTGGGACACCCTTGTTAATAGAAACAAGCTAGAGGGGTAATTGTGGAAAAATAATTACAGACGGAAACATCAACAAGTAAAGCTTCGTAATATATGCTCACACAGTTTACACACGGCCAGTCACACAGTCTCTCTCTCTCTCTCTCTCTCTGCTGTTTCCATTCAACATGCACAGGCAGTCCCTGGGCTCACCAGCTTCGAAGCTCCACATTAATGGGGTGAAAGAAGACAGCCTCTCAACCGATGAGCAGAAGCGGAAGGACCAAGCGTCTTCATCACTAATCGACGATGACGAAGAAGAGCTCAAGTCACAGAAGAAGCCTCACAAGTCTCCTGAGAGATATATACACTTCATTCCCATTCTTACCGTCCTCTGCTTCCTCATCCTCTACCTCTCTTCTCACGATCCTTCTCAGAGAGGTAAGTGAGTGAAAATCAACTGCCATTATCAACATTTACCAAGTTCAATCAGCTTATCGGTGTTTCTGACTTTGTGTTTGTTTCAGATTTGGCTCAGTTCAGCGGATTTAAGCGATTGTCGGAGCCTATAGGTATAATTCACTTTCTAATGAAATGTATTTGAAAATGTTTTTTACTGTTTTCGTTGCTTATTTTTATTTTTCCTGCTTCGTCTGTGTATAATGTGTAGATTTGAGAGAGATTGACGAGTTCGGAAAGTTTTCGGAGGTTCAGAGAAGCGATGTTTTGGCGATTCGAAGCCTGAGGAACCTGCGGGAGATCAATACGCAAGCTCTAAAACATCGACTCCATCGAAAAATCGGCGATTTCTAGTCCGCATTATCTGGTTCCTCGCTTTTCCTTCCTCTTGTATCTATATTATTGCATCTCTCATCGTCTTGAGTCCACGGTTACGAGTTACGACTCCGTCGGTGGAGCTCACACGTGCGTACTCGTTCTGCCAATTTTTTTTACCACGCGTGTACACGTCATGTGCATGTGAATTTATTGTTTTTTTTTGTAAAAATATTTCCATTTGCAGTGAAAATACTTTATAAATTAATAAAATAACAAAATAAATAGAAGAATTAGTTTGTTGAAATGGATACAGTAATGGTGGAGGTTGCTAACGTGCGCCTTGTTTGGGGCTTTGTATGCCGGAGCCAGTTTTGTTGGATTACAGCTGGAAAGTTTGGACCGTTACTGCAACCTCGTGTTGCGGTTGAAATTGCCAGCTGGAGGAGGAGACAGTCCTGACTCCTGATGCAAATGCTATTGGCTGGCTCTTTCGGTCTTTCCCCATTAACTTCTTCGGTACGTGGTCCTCCTGCAGTTGTACTCGGACTGCAGCTTTTTTACATCATGTGAAAGCCTTGTGATTGCGGTGCTGGGTGTAGAAATGTGGTTAGCCTAAAGTTTTTTTTTTTTTTAATATTCCAACCGTTTTGGTGGATTAATATTACGTACTGAATTAATATTAAACTTTAATGTAAAGTCGTTTTTTCACACAAAAGTAGATCTATTGGCGGTAATCCCGAGATGTTACACTTCATAGGATCACCTATCCTTAGGAGTGGTTTATTAGGTAACTATTGATGGGTCAAGTTCAAATGGTCTAATCTATATGAAAAATTTTAATTTCAATTGAGCAGCTCAATCTCATTAAAGATTCACCAAGACTAACATACTCTAAGACCAGTCTGACACTTTGCTTAGTCACCTTATCAAGAGGGAGAGTATGGGGGTCTTATCTGTACCGTAGAAGGAAACAGTCCACCCTCATCTTATCTTTGACAACATCTCATGGGGAGCTCCTCAACCAACTCACCCGTTGAGAAAAAATCGTGAGCTCTATCGAAATGATTGTTTAATTGTTGAGAAATAGCCCCAATTTGTTAGGACTACTATAAATTGCACGTCCCACCAATATTTGGGGGGCATTACACTTTTTACCTGAGCATGACTCTCTTTTCTTCCTTAAAACTTGTAATCTCTGCTCCCCACACCCTTGAGTTAATAAAATACCCGACAATCAAAATCATTGAAGAGTGGACATAGGTCGAACTGACCGAACCACTATAAATTGTCTGTGTCTTTCCATCTCCTGATATTATTTTTTTGTATTTATTATTCACACTTGACAGATGATGTGTAAAACTATTTTGTGCATCATCAGCTACCACTAGAGGTTAGCCGCAAGTAATTTTAATAGCATTGGAGTTTATAAGAATTGCTATATGCCATCCAAATTAAATCTCCAATATTTTATTCAAAAATCGGTTTTTTTTATCTAGTAAATGCATTTAAGGGATAAAAATCTTCAAAATTTTATTCGAGTAGTATAGTATTCGTGCGAGTTTACAATGTGGAGTAGGAATCGAAAACAATAATGGTTCATTGAGTTGTTTCTCAAAATCCAATTCTCAATAATTCGTGATGACACCACAGCCTAAATCTTTTGTCCAGTGTGGATAAGTGAGAGGGATAAGAGGATAGAACAAAATTTAGTTGGATGGATGGATAACATTTTTAATAATACAGATTTAAGTATTAGGCTGTTGGTAAGAGTAGATATATTTTTGCATAAGATATTATTTGAGTTGTTAATCGAATTTATTATTTACAAGAGGGTGTTGCACATAGTTATTTGAGGATGTGATGGTGTAAATGAGTACTAGAGAGAGAGAGAAGGGTGGGTGGGGGGGGGGGGGGGGGTGGGGGGAAGGACCAACAGAGATGAACCTGTTTTAATAGAGGTTGGGTGTGTGATTGAAGGAAAAATTATGAGTTATTAATGAGGTAAGGAGGAGTGTTACCTTCTATCTTTTACTAAAAAACAGTAATAGATTTATGTGAGGAATGTGTTAGTTTTCTCAAAAGATGTGTTGAGGGTACATTGATAGTAAGGTATCAAGAAAGTATTTATACTATTTGTACATTATATTACTAATTAATAATAAAATATTATATAAAAAAGTGAATCTTGTTTTTGTAATATGAAAGTTATTGGATATGGTAGGTATGAGAATAGAGAGATTCATTAATAGGATGTTTGTTAATTGATGGTAATAGTATATGTGAGTGATGATGTGTTATAATTAATGACAGTTTGACGAAGTATTTGATCTTTTTTTTGGTTAGAAAAACAGGAGAAGTGATCGGTAATCTGTGTAACTATGAGAATTTATTCTATTGTAAAATATTTAGTTTGAATTATTATTAATCTGAAAGAATATCTTGTGACCAAATTACTATCACACTCAAACAATAAATCGCATGTGAATACGACATGAAAGTTGCTTAGCAACCATTTTAAATGGATACGGTTTTCCATTAAGTCACTTGTTCGACTGACAAGTATTTGATCATCTAGAACTCGACATGTGACAAGTATTTGATCTTAATGAAGCCGACATTGATTACACGTGTTCACGTTTGGTTGAAGTAGCATAAGCAAACTGTGCCACGAAAGTGTCGGTGTGGGGATTTTTTTCCTCTTTGCTGGCGTTTGCTTGTGTTGACGTCGACGTGAAAAGGAAAAGGATGAGAAAGGAACAAACATTATTGTGGCTTGTGGTTATTGGAATAATGATGTTGTGGTACCATCTAATTGGTGCTATCATGTGTGATCACCTACGTGGATCCTAGATGATTTATTGATTTCCCGTGTGGGCTCCACTTAATTGTGCTTTGTAGAGCATCCAAAGGCCGGAGGGTGGGTGAAAATATTGACCATAAAATGGTAATATCACATTATTATTATTATTATCGTCTATTATTATTAATAAATAATAAAAAAAATTGTTACACTTTTTTTATTTTATTATATTTTTAAAGACATTTTTTTTATTATTTAAAATATCATTACACCTTTTTTTTATTTATATTTAAATATTATTGACACCTTTTGCTGTTAAATTATTATTTCTAATAAAAAAATTCATCTAAAATATCAAAATTATCCCTACATAAATTATAAATAATCTTTTTACATAAAATTTGAGCTGATTAAAATTTATTTTTTTACATATTAAATTGAAGTTGATTAATTTTTTGTTTTTATATATTAAAATTTGAGTCGATTAAAATTTGATTCAAACTGATTAAATTTTTTTTTTTTATGTATGTATTAAAATTCGTGCCAATTTAAGTTCAACCCAAACTATAAGGGTTAATGAAAATTCGATTTGAGTCAATTAATTTTTTTTACTTATTAAAATTTATTTTTTATGTATTACAATTTGAGTTGATTAAATTTTTTTTTTTTTACGTATTAAAAATTTGGACTGATTAAAATTCAATGCAAGTTGATTAAAATTTAATTTGGGCTTATTAAAATTCAAATTTTAATCAACCCGAAAATAATTCATAAAACATTGAAAATTTCATTGAAAATATGTCTATTTAGAAGAGGTATGAATGAATTTTTTTCTAAAATATATCATGAACAATTTAATAAAATTGTATTTTAATTAACACCTCTAATTTAACAGAGGGTGTCAGTGAAGATTTAAAAAATAGAGGAAATGTCCTTAGAGATATGATAAACTAGAAGAGGTGTAACTAAAATTTTTACTTAATAATAAATTAACATGTAAGAGGATCTCTAACAGTAGTTACAATACTCTCTATTTTAGAGAGCATTTGTCATAAAAATTTGAAATAAAGAGTGAAATATTTTTGATAACTTTAATAGGCTCTCTATTATAAAAAAATAATAATAATCTTATAATTAATAATATTTAATGAATAATGTATATGTGTCACATTGTCATTTGTTAAAAATAAAATAGAGTGAGTTAGCCTCTCCAAATATAGAGAGTCAAATAAGACTCTCTATTTTAATTAGTCTAAATAGAGAGTTTATTGGAATGTGATTTTTGGTGGTCGAGTCTCTAAAATAGAGAATTAAGTGAAAATAGAGTTGTTTAGAGTTGATCTAAGTAAGTAAATTTTATTTAGGGTCAAATACTGTTTTAGTCCTCAAAATATGTATTTAGTGTTTTATTTAGTTTTCAAATTTTCAATTATGTCTATTTGGTCTCTAAGATTTTTAATTTATATCAAAAAATTGTCAAAAAATCATTGACGATTCTGGTCATACATTAATCACGTGATGCACATTAAAAACCTTAAAAAAAAATTACATGGTATTTAACTTGAGAGTATTTATAATTCTTACTCTTTTTAAACCCAAATTTAAATTTGACTAAAAGACCCCTAAAAACTTTTTACAAGACTCGTATCTATATTAAATGAAGGAAGATTTATTTTTTTAATCAAATAAAAAAGACTCAAATTCATATGTATTTTTTTAATGGTAAGATTTTATCCTCCTTTAATGATTTAATGATCATATTTTATCCCCTTTTAAATATGATTTATCATCATTTAAATTTAAGTTTTTTCATTGAATTGACTTATACTAAATCAAATTTTTTTATTTTTTTTTTACATAAATTTAAATAAAAGTTTGAATTTTCATTGGCAGTGGTTGAGAGGCACCGGAGAAATTCATATTACTAATTACTTGGCGATTAAGTTTTCGGTTTAATAATTGGAAAGATATGATGTCACAAGAGGTTTGTGTCAACCAAACACAACGGCTACGTTATCTAGCCGACCTCGCCTCTCTACGTAAAGAAATCAATTAGAGAAGTCATTCGATTGGGATGTTGCCTCCAAACTTCAAAATGGACCAGTACGTGGTCCCTCTATTTCATAAGGTGGGACCTGTCCATCACGAGTGCGAGGCTGTGGAGCCTTCTCGTGAAAAATTTAGGATAAACATTAGGAATTATCATATTTTATATTTATTATTTTTGTCGCTTGCAATATTAGATTTACATCACTAGATCGAGGGACCAACGAGTGGAATGGTCTAGTAAGATATCGATTGAATTTCTCACTCTGATATTGAAGGTTTGAATTTTAGAGTTTACGTTGAAATTTAGTTATTGACCATTATACTAGTCTAATTAAATTTATTTTCGAAAAGAGTAATGAATACGATCAAGAGTTTCATGATTTCACCAGTGAAAACCTATCGGAATAGTCTCCGAACACTTTTCTTTAATCCCATCTTTTTTGGACGAGAAATAAAAAAGTACCTTTTAAGGGTGGTGTGTAGAAATAGACAAACTTCCTTGAATTTTATTGATCGGCATGCCAACTATGACGAGGAAATTAATGCTTTAAAACTCATTGTTCCCTCAGTGTCATTGATCGGTATATTTTTAAATTCATAGCCAACAATTATCGGTGAAAGGTAATGTTATTGAAAGTTAAAAAATAGAAAAATTTCAATCACAATTACTCTATTTTCTGAATCTTCGTGGCACCCCTTATCAGATTAAAAATATTAACTAGAATATAATTTTATTAAATTGCCCATGATATATTTGAGAATAAATTTCATCCACACTTTTTCTAGATAAACATATCTTCAATAAAAATTCCTCTAGATAAGTATTTTAGTTAAACATTCGGCGCTAACAACTTGAGTAGAGTTCAAATCGGTTCAAATTTTAATAGGCTTGAATTTTTTAAAAAATATATGAATTAGTAAATAAAAAATTAGTATTTACTAAAATTGTTATTTACAAATTTTTTTTTAAAATTTTAACAGCTCAAATTTTAATAAAATATTATGTAGAAAAATTACTTGAAGTTTATGTAGGGCCATTTTTAGTATTTTAGTTAAATTTTTTTGGGTAAAAATAGTAGTTTAATGGTAGAGGGTGTTTGTAATGTTTAAATTAAACTAGAAGAGGTGTTTGTGATATTTTTGATAATAAAAGTGGTATCCTTGAAGATATAATAAATTAGGAGAGGTGTGGTTGAAATTTTTCTTTAAAAAATTAATTTAATTTGTTACTGTCACATCATTAAATAGCAATAGAACTATGTGATTGTCACATAACTAAATCAACAAATTATGTCAAATTTTAAGTTATGATAGAATTACCCTATTGAGAAAATGGGTTTAAAGGGTCTAGCTATGTGTAATGCAGTGATTTCCTATACTCTTTATTTCTTAAATATTCGGCCCTTAAGGGTCAGTTTTCCTTATTTTTCACGAGACATGTCTTTAAACTAGTTCAAACTGCAATGGTCAACTAAAGGCTCAAGGGAATAGTCGGCACAAACCCGGATAAGTTATTGCAAAAAAAAAATCTAGTGTAATAGCACATGCAGCAACTTGCACAGGCCTAGTTTGGGTGGCCATCCCCTCCCTCTTGGTTTTGCTCAACTTTTCTCTCTCTTTACCTTGGGAGTGAACCACCCTCTCACCACTCCTAACACATCACATAGAAGAGAAAAAGAAAAAAAAAGAAGCTAAAAAAATATTTTGTACAAGATTGATCAAAGATGTTGAACATTATTGGGAGGATTCCACAGAGATATGCAGATATATCAACCACATATTGCAATAAACTCCCCCCACCCCACCCCCCCCCACCCCCACCACCACAACCACAACCACAATACACAACAACAAAAAAATTGGGGGTGAGAGGGGTTTCATGCATTCATCGCTGCTGCTACCGTGTTATTTCTAGTTTTTATTTTTGAAAGCCTTAATCATTCACATAAAGAGGGTTCCAAACTTCAAACTTATCCAATATTCCGTCCCCGCAGAGTAACACCAGGCCCTACACTCACCAATTCATCCCCGCAGATACAAACACTACCCCTTTGTTTGTATATCTTTCTCTCTCACACATATGTATATATATATATTATGAATAGCCTCCACCTAATCATCCAATGAGTTATATACATTATCCAGCAATATTCAATCCACATTTCCAAATTGATCGCGTATACAAAGTAAAACACTGTCAAGTGGGTGGACACCACTTCTCAATCATTTCTTCATCCTTAATAACTAAATATCTTAGCAACACAGCATGTCCATATGACGTATACATATATTCTTTCCTTTTTTCGGGGGTTTAAAAAATGGATAAGATAGGTCACTCCACGTATTCGTCAGGAAGCATTCTTCCTCGGCACTACACAACTATTTAAAAGAAATCCCATCGCACCTACGTCGGGGCCCAAGCTTAGGATCAACTCCTAAAATCAAGAATGGAAATCAAGTCCGTATGAAGACAACCATAGAAGACAATCGAGTTTTTGCATTCCTTTGCTTGGTGCAAAAAGCTTCTCGCATTTGGGTCCTTTTTCAAGCCCATATTCAATACAATGCAGTAGGGTACTCGTAACCCTACTGGTGGCAGCCAATGCCTCATACTTAAATGCCACCAGCTCTGCCTTCCTACTTAAGGCATCCTTGACCTAGTTGGTCTGTCCAAGAGTAATATTAAATATCCTATATTTACAATTTGACGGAGGGAAGCATCCTGCTGGGAAGCCAAAACCCCTTGGCACTAGGGTGAACCCACGGGCTAAAAGATATCTTTAAACCGAGAAAAATTGAAAACCAAGAAGCATTGCGAGAACATAAAAGTAGAGCCAATTGATGTCCTCCTTAATGTTCAATTGATAGAAAATTATATGAAGAGTCAAGATATTGAAATGCAATCATATCAAAATATAAAGGTACAGTGTGCTATATTCATCTAGCATGGTGGAGTAAGAAATCAAGACAGTAGAATCCAACTGTCAGGACAAACCTACTTACAAAAACAGCAAATCAGAGGATCAAACCTTTAACTGGTGCTGGCTTGGAAGGATGTTGTTCACTTGAATCATAAGAATTAGGAGACTCAGATAGATGAACCTGAGCAAAGTCATCAACCATTTTCCTCCTCTGTTCCTCTTCAGCCATTCCCACCTTCTCTTTTGTCTTTTGGCCGACTTCCCCGGCTGCCTTAGCAACTTTATTAAAGGCACCTGTCACCCATGAAGCCCCAGTAAAGACATACCTGTTCTTCATTATGGCAGACCCAGCACTAGAAACTGTTTGCTCAGCTGCTGAAAGTGCTGATTTGGCTTTCTCAGAAACCTGGAGTTTCTGATCCACTTCCCGAACTTTATCATTCACAACCGAAGTACCGACGCTTATCTTCTCACTGAACCCAATTTTTTTGTCTAAAGCAACAACTTTAGCACTTGCTGTGGAAGTCAGCTGGTGCTTCTCATCAAATGACTTTACCTTGTTGACAGCCTCTTTACCAAAGACATAACCTTTTGCAAGCACGCCGCTGGCAACATCTTCTGCCTTTTGAAACGCAGATTCAGCACCACCCAGAGTTTTATTTTGTGTTGCCTGCAGAGTTTTGAGCAACTATAAGGTCAAAAATACTCGAATGGTAATGATAGCAAAGTGAATAGAAGTAATAAAATGATTTCTTACAAGCGGTGGTGCAAAAGCAGCAGGTGGAAGCCGGTAATCTGGATCTATAGTAATGGTGACAGTCATATCAACTATTGTTGCACCCTGAATAACACAATAGTTTTAGGAGAAAATTGTTCAAATATTGGAGAATCTTGGGGCACTAAAAATATTGGTTTACCATATACCACAGAATGAGTGATAGAGATAAAATCAAACAGAGTAACAAATGAAATCAGTGATAATGTCACTACACAAGTGTCTAGAACGGCAGTTGCTTTATTTCATTGAGCATTAAAACCGTGTCCAAGCTTCTAACTCCAATACCAAAAACCTCTTTTTAATGACAGAGAGAGAGAAGGAGGGAGAGATGAAGAGAACAAACAAAACTAACAAAAACCTGGCTGAAGCACCCTTTTGTAACGTATTTTAAGTACTTTTAATAAACAAAAACAATTTTGTCAATTTTTTTGCTTTTTCCTGAAAAGCAAAAGTCAAAAAATAAATAAATGTTTGGTAAAAATTTTAAAAAATTGAGTATATACAAGTAATACACTCACATGTTTCCAAAAAAAAAACAATTTGTTTTTTTTCTACAAGTAAAATTACTGTGTTGTTTTTTGGGCTTTCAAAAGTAATTTTTCCTCATAAAAAATTGATAAAAATACTCAAAAAGAATTTTAATACAAAGATTCTGTCTATTCCAGTACCAACAAATGCCGCCATAAGTGAAATGTTTTGTCACCCATACCTTGCTCTCTCGTCTTTATTAGTTACATTGCAGACTTATCCAAGATAAAAATTGAAAAAGAATGACTACCACTGCTCTATAGATATAACAAAACAAACAGTTTATTTTTGCTTAAATCAGTAGAAAGAAGTATTTCCTCCATAATCCAGATCCCTAACCCATTCACATTCAAAATACATTGTCTTTCACATCATAGCATTTCAATTTACTTATCCCTTTTCCTGTTCATAAAGTTATTACAATTTTGAGGAATTCTTCTTATATTCGATACAAAGAGAACATTACTTGAGAAGAGTGAAGAACAGCGTTTCTACAAATCCTAAGAATAGCCCCTCACTTTTAAAATCTCAGCAAAGCATATACAGCTAATAAACCCCAAAAAATAAACTCACCACGAAAATACATAATTTAGATAGAAGAATAGTTGATAAACTCGTAAAATAATAATTCAAAAAAAAAAGGGATCTTGTTAGCAGCCAAAACATGTGAAAAATAAAAAATATACCAGAAGAATCACAAATTGCAGAAATTTGAGAAGGCGTCAAACCAAGAATGCAGAAATAGGTTGGCCAACAATTTCTGATGAAACAATCCTGAGAAGCAGCATGTTCTTTTAACAGCGTTGAACTCTTTTATCTTCAACTCGTATATTCTTTTGTCTTAAATTCTTATTATTTGTCAATACATTACATATGTTTTTTCATTTTTCCTTTTCTAGAATGCCTCAAAAATATCTGTAAGCCTGGTTGCAGACTTCCTTAGTGTCATTTGCATTACCTAATCTTCATAATGGAAACTCTCTTAACATGATACAATCTTAAAGTGGGAAACCCAGACAACTTTCTGTGTTTTGTTTCACTCATTGATTGATGTACCATTTTTGACACATAAATGGATGGCCAGGTTTTGGAATAAGAAAATCTGTATCATAAGAAGATGCAACAGCTTAATGTAAAAAGTCCATTCCATATAATAGACTCGATCAGCTATTTGATGCGTAGCACAAAAGATAGTCTGTAATAGACCCTGGATCTGGCAAGAATCTCAGGAAGTTGGATTAGATGTCCAACTCCAAAAGCAATGGACAACGAACATGAATCACATATAAAAGTCCCCCTGGTCCTGGTTAAACAAAAAAGAAAAAAAAATACCAGCACACCTCAATTCCGATGTTCAAATTGATGTGACTGAATCCTAATCTCAAGCAACAATCCATTTATCCTAAATCCTCATACACCATTAGTACATCACTATTTATGCCTTTAAGCTTCCCAAAACATTGTAATCCTGCTGCCCTAGCTTAGTCATCACTATGCACTGTCCCAATTCAGGACCTTCAAACGTAATCATTCATGAATGAAAACCCTTTAGATGATGATCAATTTCTGCATAGTAAACAGAAGACATGATTCCAAAGGTACCATATTTTAACAGAATTGATAGGGTAAATTTCCCTGTTAAATTTCAGCACATGAACAAGACATCATCATAGACCACATTCTAAAGTCAGAACATGTCCTAAATGAAAATTTGTCCAAGCAAAGGTGTTGGAATCTGTACAATGTTTTGATCATTTCACCTAACAATTCAGAACGACAGAGGTCCACAGGAAAAATGAATATATGTGGCAACATATATAAGAAAAATAAAACTATATATAAAGTAACGAGAAGATAAATCACCGAAAGAAGAACTGCAGTCTCTGCTCCTTGGAAATTCTTGAAGGTGACAAATGCAATTTGAGATCGCTCAGTATCACTGAGTAACCATGGAAAGGTTGTGTTTAATATGATAAAGAAAAAAATTTGAGGAAAGAAAAAAGAAAAGGTACTTTAGATACTAACCTCCGCATCTCAACATATTCAATATCACCAGAAAAAGAGAAGAACTCTTTGATGTCTTGCTCATATGCTCCTAAGGAAACATTGCTGACTTTGACAGTTCTTATCTATGGAAAAGACGCAAGTTATTAACATTTTGGGACAGTGCTTCCACCATCTGGACACAATTTATGCATTCCACAATATAATGAAATATTATGATCAGGGGTACATATGAAGAGCACATTCATCCTTAAATAATATCAAGTTTTCAAAAGATCATTTCAATAAAAAAAAAAATTAGGATTTTTTCCACATAACAACAATTATCAGTATTGTCAAAAATTAATCGAAAAAATCCTGAAAACTCAAAAGCATAAGCTCAAAATATTGCGTAGACATAATCAAAGGATTTTTTGGTGCTTACACTTGAATTTTGTCAAAACAAAAGGTAATAGAACTCGTTTAAATGCCATTGTCCTTTCATCTGCTTCTCTAGTTGGAAATGTTTTTGAGGACAAGCATATGGCCTTTTACTCCAAACTTGTTGATCCTAAATGAAAACCAAAATCCTCAAAAAAGTCGCCGATCAAGACCAAAGCTTCATTATGTCATCCATAATAATCAAACGGTACTAAAATACAGACAACTAGAATAACTTGGACCCTTAAGCAACGAAAACAAGGTTATGATTTCTTCAGTGCTCCAATCGTGATGAGCTCTGACAAAATAGAAGTAACTTAACGAACAAGCACCAACTGCATAGGCATTACTGCCATGAAGATTTGTCAAGTTCTTGGTATGAATAAGCGGCAACTTAATGGACATCAATGTCAACAATGAAGAGGGGATTACTTAACCTACCTATCATAACGAATATATTAACAGACAGAACTAACTTGCCACAGAACAATTCCTAAATAAGTACAGTAAACAAAAGGAAAGAGGATTGAATACAAAATCAATAGCATGTGTGCGAATAAACAATAGATCTACGCCAATTCAATAGAGATGCCACACCAAGCACAAAATCAACATCAAAGGTAAGACCACAAAAATCATTTATAGCTCGTATAAGTTCAATAAGTAATCAGTAAAGAGAACAACACAAAACACTTGAATAATCGAACGCCTTAGCATATATATATATATATATATATATATATATGCACACACACGTATGTAGATATATACGAATCGCGAATACGCAGAGAAAGAAAACAAGTTGAATGATCAACACGTACCGACATGGCAGCTGAATGAAATGCGACTCTGAATAAACAGGTGAAGAATGATGGATATATACAGAGAGAAAGAGGGGAATGGGGGTTCGATGGAGAAGGGATTAGAGAGAGAGAGAGAGAGGGGGGGGGGAGAGAGATTTGGAGATTGGGGAAGGCGTAGCGGAGGGGTTAGATGCCGGCGAGAAGAAGTAACGGGGTTGACGCGGTCCTGGTCCTTGTTGTTAATGTAAAAACCCACACGCGCGCGAGTGTGATATGTTACAACTCTCCTCTGCCACGAGGTCCGTATTGCTAGGGCAGGGGGTGGTCAAGTTCATTGAAGTTTACAAGTTAATTGAATTGGTGGTGTGTCTAAAGAATAGGTTTGCCACATTTTGTTCAATAATATTTTAATTATATTATTATAATTTTTAAATAGTTAATATATTTTTATGTGATCTTTTAAAGACAGCGTTCAAATTATTAATAATTTTTTATTATAAAATTATAACTTAATATTTAAATATGGGTCAAAAAATAATTTGAATAATTCTTAATTAAATTTTTACCAAAATCTTTTTCAAAGAATGACTCAAATTACAATAATAAGCAATTCATATTTTGGTTAAGAGTTACTTATATTACACATTTTTTGTCAAGAGGTATTTATATTACATATTTTTTGTCAAGTGCTGCACAAATTATTTTTTTGCTCATATTTAAGTATCACGTAACAAGTTTATGATCAAAAATCGTTAATAATTTGGGATGTTGTCTGTTTGAAAGACCATATAAAAATACTAAAGGCACAGAGTAATAAAAATGATAAATAATAAATATATTTGTATTTATATCAAAAATTAAATCACAAATATAAAGAAGAGATAAAAGAATTTAAGTATCGATTTGTAACGAGAGTGAGAGGTGGTGGAGCGGCAATGGTAGTAGTAGGAGACAGTAATGGTTGTGATGAGTGGCAATGACCGTATTGGTGGTGCGGTGGTGGGGGCAATGGGGGTGGCGGGGGCGGTGTGGTGATGGGGGTGGTGGCAATGGTGGGGGCAACGACGGCGATAGTGGTGTTGGCGGTGGTGGTAATGGTGGCGGCGGCAATGACGGTGGTGGTGGTGGTAGAGGTAGTGGTAGTGGTGAGGCGGTTTCAAACACTATTTTTTTTTAAGTATTTATGAGAAATAATTTTTAAAAAGTCACTTCAAATACACCATCTTTAGGAGCCTATTTTTCCTATTACATTTAGGTGTTAATATTAGCCATTAAATTAACTTTAAAGTAAAATTTAAAACGATTTTAACTGCGAATAGTAAAAGTCATTTTATTTATTTTTGAAATTTGAATTGTAAACTACTTAATGATATAGATTTTAATATTTTAGGAACTAAAATAATACAATTAAAATATTAAGGATTAAAATAAGATAAACTTTGTACTTTAGAGACTTTTAACATAATTAACTAAAAAATAAAAAATAAAGACGAATAGTTTGCATAATAGTCACTGTCCCCGCTATCCATCCTTAAAGTCGTGAAAACAAACTATACCGTCCTTCTTACTTGAAATTGTATTTCACCCGAAAAAAAAATGATAAAGAAATTGGTTTTTAAACATTTGCAATAGGATTTGATGAATTTTTAAAAGAAATTAGAAATAGTTTTAAATTTTCTTAATGGCATCATTTTTCCTCCAAACCAATTAATGTATGTGGAATATTTGAATCGTTCTAGAATTTTTAGAATTCAATGCACATTCTTAAAAAATTGGTTAACTACCAAGATACCCCTCGAAGGTGATCCATATAATGACTGTGCATGTTCATGTATGACAAATTGTCTTGCATTTTCTATCATTAGGTCCTGTTCATTATATATATATATATATATGAAATACAAATATACGACAATGCCTCAACGTCTATGAAAGATTAAGACAAATGAATGTATGACGACTCTCTTTGATGTTAGCAACCGCCTTCTATCCACGCACCTTACTGTGCCTAAGTGGAGAGGTTTAGTCATCTCAGATGGGCTCTAATGCCTCCACAATTTATTAATAAAAGATTAATTTATATATAAGTAATGACAACTCTTTGCGATGTATGGGTGTATACTCCTCTCCGCCCATTTCACTCTATTTATCTCACTCCATCAAGAAAATTTCTTCACTATTGGTCTATGATTGAAATCGAGACCCGCAAAAAAAACAAAGATAAAGGTTGAGATTTTCATCCAAAAATTATTTAAAAAATGAGCTTGCCATAATTAAATAAGTAAGTAAAATGTGAGGGGAAGAGGAGGTATTAGAAAATAAACAACTATCTATAAATTATCAGTAGTTGAATTGTTTGTTGAGGAAAGTTCGATGTACAACATGGGTTAGTGGGGGAGTTTAAAACTATCCAGGTGGTATAGATTCATTTGAGCAAATTAATTAAAAAATAAAAATTATGAAAGAAAAGAGAGAAGAAGTATGGAAATTAACTTAGCTCCTCTCTAATCTAATTTGTTTGTTTGACAGTGTCCCATTTAAAATTCATCATATTTCCTAAAAACAAAAAAAAGTGGGTCATGTCTTGTGGGTCCTACAATTTTTCCCAATAAATATTACTATTTGAGCTTTAAAATATTCCTATTTCTGTTTGACCCTAGTTATTTTTTGAGGAAAAATATTATTTAGATTTAATTGCTGACATACTTAATGAGAAATAACCATTAAGTTGATAATAAATTATAATTATTAATGATATTTATTGTTAATTTAATAATAAAATTTAATTAAAATCATCGTACCATTACCATTCCTCTTTCTACTATTGACCATGTTAATATCATACCATTAATGAGCATTCCTGTACAATTCGCGCTCTTCTTGTTTAACTACCACACAAACAATCCACGTGTCGCATTCTTAGCCCACAAGAGACGCCGGCAGCCAAAGGCCAGCCGACGACGCAGAATATGTAGCGTGCACCCCCCTCAATCCCAACGCATGTCAAATTATTGTGTCCCTCTCAATCTCTCTCCTCCTGAGTTTGATTTTCTCTCCAGGACGCCTTTTCTCTAGGATTTGCTTGTTCATCCATCAATTTCCAGCTCAATTCTCGCCCTCTTTTGCGCACCTTTATTGCCCTAACTCCTAACCCTTCACCTTCCGATTCACTGCTGGAAAATTTTCCCCAATACCCTCAATTCCGCAAACCCAATTCCAAGGGTTTTCACGGATCATATCTCTCCCTCAACATACATATTTATTGGGAGATTGAAATTTTATTATATAGTTTGTTTGAGAATTGCTAGGGGATTTGAGAGATATGAGTTTTCAAGATCTTGAATCGGGTCGCCCCTTGGTTTCAAGGCGAGATTACATCAATGGAAAACAAGACCCAACACAAGCCGTGGCTTCGGGAATTTTTCAGATCAACACAGCCGTCTCGACGTTTCAGAGGCTTGTGAATACCCTTGGAACGCCCAAGGACACGCCTGAGCTCCGAGAGAAGCTGTGAGTTCTGTTATGTCTCCCAGTGTGTTTACTTTTGGTTGATTGATTTTAAATTGTTGGATTAGGGGTTTTATTTGATTAAATTGGTATATTTTTACATGTGAATTGCTAGAGTTGGGATGATCCTCTGGTAGGTCTGACTTAATGGTTGAATTGCATGTTTATTGGTTCTTTTATTGTATTTTTGTTCTTGATTGGATCTGAACAAGGGTTTTAAAACTAGGGTCCAGTTTAGAATGCGTAATGGAAGGTATGCTGATCGGGTTCTAAATAAAACTTGCTGGAATTGAGTATAGGGAGGAGAACTACACTTTGTTTGTACGACAATTGGTGTGTGTAAGTGATGATTTTCTTCTAGCATACCGTTTATTCGTGAACTCATATTCTGCTTCTCGCTTTGGACTTAGTTATATAAGTTGATTGAATCTAGCCGCTTAAGCCTACTTATAATAGGTTTGAGAGAGAATCCACATAAATCAATGGCTCTAAGGAAGTACGAATCAAGAACGTTGAGTCCACGCAATTTATGAGTCAACTCGTCTAAAGATTTGACATGCATGCAGAATGAGAATTAAGGTCCAGTTGTAAGCCAAAACATAGAAAAGAACGTAATCAAAAGTCTTACTCTTACAATTAGATAACATGAGATAATAAGAGATTTGTTTCCCTGTGGGCTGATGCTCGACTACTTGCTCTCAGTCTTTAGGCAATGCATTGTTGCGGACCAAAATCCCTGATGGAGGAAGAGTGGGAAGATGATTTCATAGTATTTTTCAGTTTAGCTTAATGAGCCGGCATGTTGATTAGGAGAAGTCTGTTGTCAAAAAGTTATAGAAATAGATTCTCAACTGTCAAAATCTTATTCAAAATCTCTCTGGAGGGAAATCATTTGGATCTTGTCCTAAAGAAGAGCTACCTAGCAAAGGGTCTAAGAAAGTAGATTAGGTGTGTTGAACTACTATGAAGGCATTTCTAGTGTAGAAAATTTGCACATTACAATAACCCATTGAAACTACTCCGAGAAATCCAATTTTTGTTTGGGAATCTTCACGCAATGAGTCAATCAAAATATATCTCGTTGGCTCCTTATTACTTCATCAAGTTAATATTTGGGTGTTGTTAAATCTTTGCTGATTTATGGTTTAACATAACTGCGTCATTGGACCTTGGTCATTTTAATATGTGATTTTCATAATCAGATTTGTTAGAAAGGGATGAGGAGATTTGTTTTGTTGAATTGAGTTTACTCACACATGTTACTCCTATCTAAGAACTTGGATCATTCCAGAATTTGTTGTGGTGGAGTATAAGAGCCTCTAAGTAGTCCTCAATCTTTTGAATTTAGTGAAATCTCAAATCTAAAATTGAGGCATCTAAGGTTTTGTTGAGGGTTGCGAATTTTCTTGCTATGATGTTGGTCTTTTGTGATGTGTCAAGATTTACTATATTAAACTTTAAGAAGGTTTCTGTCATAGTTATCAGTTTACTGTTGGTTGGGCCTCATTTTTTGAACAAACCCATAAGCCTCCGTGAATAACTACACCTTATGTCATGAGTCCAATTCTTAATGTGTACCAAACCAAGTGGAGAGGAAGCCAAAATCCTGTTTGGGTGGGGTTGAGGTGGGAGGATGGAGGAGAATGGGCCACCTTAATTTATGTGTGGCTCTGGTAAAAGCCATTTACTTGTCCTTAACCATTAAAGCTCTTGTGTACTTTTATTTATGTATATTTTGGTTGTGACTTGATTAAGGATACTTCCTAATTCCTCTTTTCTTCTTCTCGTCATTAATCCTTAAGCCTTAGGTCTCTTTTCATCAGTCTAAGAAGGGTTTGAATGATGAAGATATACTGGCAACAGTCAAATAACTCTTGTATTTTCTTACTGAAAAATTTACTAGTGATATCCGTTCTGCAAATGAAAATTTATGGGAAGCTACGCGTATGACTTGAAGATATGCAAGAAAATACTGGTCTGTAAAAGCTTTGTTGTCTGCAAAAATTGTTAGTTTTTGTGGATTTTTCAATTAAGTGGATGAATATCATTGGCTATACTGGCAAAAGAAACTTAATAGAAGAACAGATGGAAATAGATGTTTTTTTAATGAATTGAAAATGGGAAGAAACGTATATGCCTAGAGTTTGATGCTTCATGGTGATGCATGTCACTTTTTTCCCATTCGCACTTCAGTAATTAGATGCTCATTGTATGATGGACTTTAATTTTCTTAATAGTATTTACACTGGTTTTGTACAACCTGCAGGCACAAGACAAGGCTACATATTGGGCAACTGGTGAAGGATACTTCAGCTAAACTTAAGCAAGCTAGTGAGGCAGATCATCGTGTTGAAGTTAGCGTAAGTTTGTATTTTGGGCCACTGTCTTTATTGTTCTGCTGTCTGAACTAATTCTGTCTTTCTCACACACACGCACGCATTCTCACTGGTCCCCTCATCGCTTTTAATATCTAGAATTTCCTTTTTATTGTCCTCCACTGTACAAAGGGTCTTTGTGCTCCTTTTGTGATTGTTTATGGAAGTCCGTTGTAGCCAATATTTTTTATTGCTTAATATTTGTAGTTCACCAAGACTAGTGGTTGAAAATGGCCCTCCCTTTCAATTCTCTCTCTCATGTTCCTATGTGATGACTTAACCCTTCCTTTAACTGCAGGCCAACAAGAAAATTACAGATGCTAAACTAGCAAAAGATTTTCAAGCAGTTTTAAAAGAGTTTCAAAAGGCTCAGCGGCTTGCAGCTGAGAGAGAAACAGCATATACTCCCTTTGTCCCTCAAGCAGTGCTTCCTTCCAGGTAGTCATAGTTGAAGGACATAATGGTCATATGGTCAAAAGGGAGGTTTTTTGTGGGAATGTTTTCAATATAATACTGCATGGGTTCTTTTTCTTTTTCTTTTTTCCATGGAAATGCTTTCATTGAGTAGTGATTGGAAGTTTCTTAACTTCAACTATCAAATGCGAATATTTTGACAAATCTGCTGAACAATTTGTAGGCAATGATTAGTTGACGCCATAGTAGTTGTTCATGCGTTATGTTAAACTGAAATTTCACTTTCACTTTTGTATGTTCCTTTAACTGTATGTCTTCACTTTTCTATGCAGCTACACAGCCAGTGAGATTGATGTAGCTTCAGATAAGAACCCTGAACAGCGTGCTCTTCTTGTGGAATCTAGAAGGTGAGTTCTGCTCACGCTTTTTGGCTGTATGTGCATATGTTCTCACTAGTTGTACTTCACCTATTGTATTACGTCACATATTAGATGCATTTAACTTCTCAAAAAATTAATATACCACAATCGTTGATTGTTCTCTTCCTTGTTATTGTTCTTAAAATGCCATTTGGACATAATTTGTTTATTTTTTTAATAGCATAATCCAAGTATTTTAGACTGATGATTTTTTCATCATCTCTATTTTGTGGATGAGGGAGAAGGGGGGAGGGGGGATATGATGCCATCAATATTGAATTTTTTCCATGTCTGTATTTCCCTTTTGGGGAAGCTCCTACAGTATGGTGCATTGTTTCCCGTGAATTATGAGTTATCTCTGCTGTCATTAGAGATATGAATGAAGTCTCGATGTTTATTTGCTACTGGGTTGAATAAATGGTTAGAATGTATCAAATACTAGAAGGTTTATGCCCAAAAACCTGATGCATCAAAACTGGCAAATAGTATTGAATGGTTTGGATTGCACTCAAACTCAAACCCTGAGTGGCGATACTCTTTATCCTCTTTTTTAAAGATGAATACCATACCTGCCAACTAAATATTGTAATCTAAGACAATGACTTTGTGGGAGTTGTTATTGGCTCTCCCAAAAAATCCCAGCCTCTCCACCTTTATTCTATAAGCTAAAATGGAAGTACATTATGCCATTTATGAATGTTGTTCCACAGTTACACCTATGAATGCCTCTCTCTTCCCTGTTTTCTCCAATGTCAAAGCACAAACAATCTCTTTGTTTTTCCTTCGGCTCCACCTCTTACAAGCCTATTGCCCTTCTTCGTCCTTCAAAAATCTTCCACATATATTTGCATGATATCTTTGTTGACCCCCTCCATCTAAAGCAATAATACCGATAACAATGACAATAACAGATGAAATTGTTGAATCACCTATGAAATATCAAATTGAGTTTGAACAAGCCCTGGGAGACAAACTTGACTTAGAAAAGCCCTCCCTTGCCAGTAAAACTTCCAAATCTCTATGTGAACTTCAAAGAGAGTGAGATCGATCAAAAGATAACTTGAAGGAGAAGAATTAGTATGTGTGTGTGTGAGAGAGAGAGAGAAGAGACGATGATGATGATATAGAGATACCTAGGAAGGGGGAGGTACAAGGCATTCGTTGTACTCCCCTTTCAGCTGAGCTTAATGGTGTAATGCCTAGTTTGTTTTTTGAGCTTAATGCGTCATTATCTCATTTGATTACTGAAATGCTCCTCAAATTTACTTTTTTCCCTACTTCAGCCAATCCTTCCTGTATTATATAATAGCCTCACCAATTGTTGTCCCCTTAGTTTCTGTGTGATTTGTGCTGCAGACAAGAGGTTTTGCTCTTGGATAATGAGATTGTCTTTAACGAGGCTATTATCGAGGAAAGGGAGCAGGGGATACAAGAAATCCAGCAACAAATTGGTGAGGTGAATGAGATTTTCAAAGATCTTGCAGTGCTGGTTCACGAGCAAGGAGCTATGATTGGTAATTCACGGCCTTATTCTCTGGGACCTCTACATATTTTATATTGCCTACTTCACATTAACTGGGTAAAAAACTGATATTCAGATGATATTGGCTCCAACATTGAGGGTGCTCATGCTGCAACTACACAGGGAAAATCCCAACTTGCTAAAGCCGCGAAGACCCAACGATCAAACTCGTCTCTGGTAATTTATGAAAAAATTCCAATTTTTTGTTAGGCAGGGGAATGGAAATAAATACTATAGGATGAGAGGGACTATTAATTGTGGGTCTTGCTTTAAAGGATGCACTTCAATTGTCTTTAATGAAGTTAAAAAAAAATATATATATCTTTAATGGTCTTGTTCAAAATTACATTGACCAATCAATTGTTTGACTCATGGATGGTAAAAGGGTTGTAGTTGGCTCCATTATCTCAGGGTAAGAATGTTGCGTGGTTACTATAACTGTTGAGAATTCTTTGTCCATTCTATTGGTGACTCAACAGGATTTCTACTGTACCCCTTGGAGTTGTATACAATTAGCTTTGACAAATTTCAAACTCCTGTTTTTATGATCTCTTATGATGGGGATGTGAGGCACCTTTAATCATCTCTGTTGCTTGGGTAGGACCTTAAATGGTTTTATAATGGACTGGCAGTTTGAAAAGTTTGTCAACTTATAAAGATTGATAGTATCTTGGTCATCAAAGGATGTGGTTAGTTTCATCATCGTGAGTCGTTTTTTGGGTACTGTAGCTACTGGGAAATGTATCTAAGTGCACTTAAGATGGAGCCCATGTTGATTGTACCCTGATAAATTTCGAATATGAAGCCAGTCTTTTCCACCCTTAACATCTCTGACCAATCAATAAAATTTTATGCAGTTTGTATTTTTTTTTCTTTTTTGACATTTGATCTTCAATGCAGACATGCTTGCTCCTGGTGATTTTCGGCATTGTGCTTCTCATTGTGATCATCGTACTTGCGGCCTGATGAGGAAATAATTTCAAGTCAATAAAGACAAGTCGTAGCCTGGCAATGAATACACACATTCTCTTTGCTGATCTTTGTGGTTTCCATAGTTTCCAAGATATAGTGGCTGATTGGAGTGTACCTCCTTGAATTCAAGTTATATGGTAATCTGAGATTGCTATGACCATCAAGTTGTTTTAATTTAAAGGGTGGAGGGTTTGTGTTCTATGTTGTAAATTGCTGTTTTTTTGGGGTTTTGAGGGTGTGTTTACGCTTGTCATGTAATGACCGGTTTATTAGTATTTGAGAATTTTTGTTTGTTGGGGTTTCAATAGGAGTATCAAACGTGTCGGGTTAAACGGTTACGTATTGGGTTAAATGGGTGACGGGTGGAAAATGTATAAATCTGTATACGACACGTTTAATAAACGGGTTAAAAATTTCAACACGAACACGACCCGTTTAATAAATGGATAACACGGCAACTCGTTTAATCCGTTTAATTTTAAAAAAATTATATTAACAAATTTTAAAACTCTATTTTTTTTTATTGTCAATTGTATTTACCTCAAAAAAGATGAATTTTTAGTCAAATTTTATAAAAATAAGACTTGAAGGCTTAAAAAAAAAAACAAGACGTCATTGTTTTTTATAGACAACTCAACCATCTATATCTCTCTTCATTTTTCAATGTGGACAAAAATAAAAGGTATTGATTTGTCTTTATCTTTGGAGTGTTCTTCATCTCCTTTATTTTGTCTTTGAACTACTACTTTATTTCTTTTTTCTTATTAATTTCTTTACCTTTTTTTTTCTTGTTAATTTTTTAAAATAATTATTAATTTATTATTATATTAATTTTATTTAAACGGATAAACGTGTGATAAACGGTTTGACAGGTCTCACCCGAACACAATCCGTTTATTAAACGTGTTTGGCGTGTCAACCCGTTAAGATTTTACTCAAATCTGTTTAATTCGTATCGATTCGTATCGATTAATCGTGTCGTGTCAAATTTTGACATTCCTAAGTTTCAAGTCATCTTCTTGCAATCAGTCTGGCTGTCTGATATACTGGAATTCATGACTGAAAACTTTGATTATGCTTTCATGAGAGGCCGTTTGAAGCTTTATTTGGAATTTACATGATCCATCTCGATATAGTTGTAATGACTCGTACAAAAATTATTTTCTTCTATGTTAATTAGAGTGCCAAGTATCAAGGTTTATTTTAAACATTTTAAACAAATAAATGGGTTTCAAATATAATTTTTTTAAGTGAAAACGAGTTAAATAATTATAATATTATAAGTATTATATTTAATAGTTAAAGTGTCTGAATATTATAATAGGTGTGTAAAATGTGTTATATATATATATATATATATAGAGAGAGAGAGAGAGAGAGAGAGAGAGATCAACCAATCGAGATCATGGTGGTGACAAGTGTTATTGAACCAAAAAGGGTCACAAAGTAAAATTTGGCAAGTGTTTGGTGGTACAAAAAAAGAAAAGAAAAACAGCAATAATGAACAAAAAAAAATGGACAAATGTGCATGACATAAGCAATAATGACATGAGCAATGTGACATGGGGATGAAGTTCAAGGCCAGGTAAAGTGACCCATACCTCTGGCTATAAGTAGGCGGCTTGATCAGTTAGTGACGAGCCACACAGAGCGAAAAAGAAAAAGAAAAAGAAATAGAAATGAAGAGAGTGAGAAAAAAATGGAGGAAAAGGTTCGGGATCTGTGTCGACGTTAGAGTTCGTTTTTCAGATCAAAAATTTTGGGGTAACGTTAATATACAAACAACTTATTTTTTGATATCGTACCAAAAAATGAGGTAGGTTGTATATGTGACACGCAGGTCTTCAAAATCGATGAAATCGGTTGTTGTCAAAAAAAAATACTTGATGGGACTCTAGTGTGACTCTTCCGCCCCCGAGTTGACACGTGGAACAATGAAACCGTTGAGATATTCAAAAGATGTCGAGGAAGTAAGCCGAGATATGGTGACACGGAGCAGCTGAATACGACAGCTGACATCGTATTTAATGCGACATGACCTCACATTTATGGCGGAATGAGTGATAGTGACAGGACAAATAAATGCGCGCCTGCCAACACCTGCCCTCTGAGAGTCTAAGCCTACTGTCATGATGGCTAAGCATTAATGGCTGATGCGTCGAGACGACGCGATCGGCTCTCCCGAGGAACTGTTCCGTCGAGTATTCAATGCTCAGTTGGTGTCAGATGCCGAACTGTTGGATTTGGGTACTCGGGGAGTGACATAAATGCTCGGCGGATGATCGAGTTTTTACCCAATTTTCCTAGCATTCAATAGGAGGACGTGAATAGAAAACACTCATTGCACGAGAAATGGTATGTCAGATGTCAGATGTCCAAATGAGACTGAAGATCTTTGACAATCATTGCTAATTCAGGTATAAATATTCCTCAGAAAAATGGACAAAGGTACGCAAACTCAAACCAAAAAAATAGTTCACTAAGCAAAACCCTTCGATCTTATACTGACTTAAGCTTCGGAGGGGATTAGCCGGGCACACGTCTGACCCCCTTTTTTCTGACCCTACTGTTTCAAGTTCGTCAGCTGGGAGATCGTTGCCTCACACGATTGCAGGAATCATCCCGTGCAATTTGGCGCTGTCTGTGAGAAGCGAAAGCACTTTTCCCGGTAGCGATCGTTTGATGGTGAACACTTGATCTTAGGGTGAAGGAGCAGATGTACGGGTCAGGAACGCAGAGCTCGTCCGGCGTCCAATGGTTCTAGAGCCAGGTTCATTGGGCCCCTTAGATGGGGTGGGGCATTCTTCGCAAAGAACGCTCCCTATGGATCAGGGCCTTGGGGGGTGTGACCTCATGGCCCATGACATCGTGGAGATGGTGGAAAAATGAATGGGCAAACGCATTAAGCAGCTCAAGAGGGAAAACGCCAAAGTCTAGCAACGTCTTGACGATTTCGAGCAGTCAGCAAGCACGGGTGAGCATAGCCATGGGGTCGGGGACCAGGTGCCTAGCCAGAACCTGTCCAGACCCGTCTGGCATTGGCTATCCAGGAAAGATTGGATTAGGCACTCATCCGAGGGACGTGACCGCCGAGGAGGGTTCTCGGCCTCCAAGGGAAAGTCGAAATTGGGCCAGAAGGCGAACCTATCCAGGTGGGACCTGCGCCAAGGGATACCCGAGGGCGTCGGAGCCGCCGAATCTCAAGCGGAGTCCATACCCCGAAGGCCTCAAGGGGAGAGATCAACCAAGGATCCCCGGGTCCCCTTCATCGCTCAGCGTAACTATGAGCTCGCGGTCTACTCCGACGAAGTTATCTCGTCGTTCGTCCGGGCTACCAGGGAAGTCGAGATGCCAAAGAAGTTTATCGTCCCACGATTCAAAGTGTATAATGGGAAAATCGATCCCGAGAGCCACATTTGGCAGTACAGACAATTGATGTCAATCTACGATACTGACCAAAGGGTGTTGTGCCGAGTTTTTTCCATGAGCCTAGAGGACACCGACATGAGGTGGTATGAGAACCTTCCTCCCGAGAGCGTTGGGTCCTGGAGACAATTGACAAAGCTCTTCCTAGCTCGATTCATCACCAACAGCAAGAAGTCGAAAGACATCGACGCTCTGCTGACGCTTAGGCAGAAAGGGAGAGAGATACTCCGACAATATGTCGACCGTTATTGGGATGAGGTGAATGAGGTGGAGACGTGTTCAGAGGTATTGGCCGCAGCGTTGTTTAGGCTGGGGCTGTCCCGAGACATTGACTTGTACAAATTGATGACCAAGAAAGCTCCAGCGAAAATGACAGACTTGATGGCTCAGATTAACAAATATGCCCGGGTGGAGGAAGAGTCTGTTGCGACCGAAAGCAGGGCCGCGGCGCCGAGAAAAAGGGAAAGGGAGCAGCCGTTCCGAAGGGGGGGCCTATTCCACCCCCAACTCGCCTATCCTTCCAAGGAGTGAACACGGTATTCAACGAGCCCATTCACAGGATACTCCCCAAAATCAAAAACAGACCTTACTTCAGGTGGCCCCCGAGGATGATTGGAGACCCGTCGATAAGGAATCTGGTCTTCCGATGTTCGTATCATAGAGATATCGGT